GTTGTTATTGATTATTCAAATACTGATTGTTTTCTATACATTGTTTTATTTATATATACCCATCGAACATTTATTTGACATCTACTACCGTAAATACGAGGTACCAGCTCCTCAGACGTTTATTTGTATACGTATAAAATAAATCATAAAATTTACTATAACAATTTGCTGTAATAACTTATAACCAGTGCTGGAATCGAAGAAATATAATAAAGTAGACCCTAAGACTTCCAAACTCACTTCCCTTGAAATGATTGAATTCGACCTTAAACCTTTAATCTTCGAATAAAAAATAACAATACATTATAATATACTAGTACACAGAAAATACTATAGTTATGAAAAATTACAATTTTGAACAATAGGTATTCATTCGCAATGAAAATTATTTTAATTGATTAAATGTATGTTACGTAATTTATATAATTTTAAATTTTAAACTATAATTTAAAGCTGTTACACAATAGCATAATAACATAAGTTATATTATTAATCAAATTTGATTAAAATATTTAATTCAATAACCTTTTGTGGAATAAAAATTATAAGAATAATGTATAAAAATTTTTTTTATTTTTTTTTTTCAATGAAAGTGCCGTCCTTTGTTTTAACGAAAATAATGAGTAGAATAGCTCCATCCCCTACCCCATAATTAAAGCACTGATTATAAAATTATTTATTATTTATTTAACATTAATACACTATGATTGTGTACAAAAATTGTTTTACTGAAAAGTGAAAATCACATACAACATTATTATATTACGCACAAACCATTGTTAAATATTTTTAACTTATTTAATTCTATTATAAAAAGTAATTGTATTTAATATAGGTAGGTATTAAATAATTTACAATGTAAAGGTTGGATATCAGCATGAGCTGCATATACTATAAATATTGGCTGATATCACAATAATGTATTGAAATTATATAAATATTTAAATTCAGCCATCATTCTTAACAGATCTCATTCCAAAACGTACAAAAAATGTTATCACTGTATAAATTTATTTATCGACATGTGAAATAATATTAAGTCGACGACTCTTATACCTGCTCACTAATAACTAAAATAATTGTTTATAAAATGTCTACAAATTTTAAATGTTGTTTCTAATTTATTCGCATTTCATGTGAATGTAACGTAATATAATATTATTATGATCAGTATACCTATACTTTATATTAATAGACAGGAATTTTGTTCACTCAGAGCAATCAGAGATGTATTATGACGTTACTTGAATAACTGTACTTTAATATTTTAATCTGTATAATTAAAACATTATAATCTATTATCAATGTCAAACTATTATATTTAGTATCTACTCTACAGAAATGTCCGGTTTATTGGTTTAAGGTACTTTCATTATTGTATAAATTTATCATACTCAACCCTAAATTAATTTATATTGTATATATATTTTTTTATTATTATTTAAACAATTATTAGTTGTTGTTAATACGTTATTATTGTTGTCATTCAAATATTAGAATTATATCCTATAACTTGCAGAACTATATTAATTTAATGAATTTTTGTGTTTTATATTTAATACTTGGTAAACAGATTGAGTTTGTTCAAAATTTCTTTAACGCATTATTACTATAAAATATACAGCATAAAAAAACCATGTGTAATTTTGAAAATTCCTTAAGATTTAAAATTATATACATCTTATTGCACACTTATTTACTTAAGTTTTTCTTTTAAAAATAAAATCTAGTTATTACGATTAATTTCTGGATAGTTTTTGTTTACATTTGGTAAAATGGTCAATTTTGAATTATCAATTATTGTCAATAATTTTTGATGAATAAAAATATAACAATAAAATGTTTAGCAACGTAACGCTTGTTTCTTGTGATTGCTAACATTCAACATATTTAATACTTCCAACACAGAACAGTATTTAAATACCTGCATTAATATTATATGAATATTGAATGCTTAAATACCTATACATAAACGAACATGACAAACGCTAATGTATTCAAAGATTAAATTTTACGAATTTCACCAATACAGTGAAAACTGTCTAAAGCGGAATCGCATGGGACCAACAAAAAATTCCGCTTTAAGCAGTTTTCCGCTTTATTCAATAAAACGGAAAAATTCCGGATTATTCAATTCAAATGAATAAGAAATATCAAAGAATATTTCTCAATTTATTGTTTTAAATACATAATATAATTCATTAAAATTCATTAAATTTGATCTGTTGATATTTTTCATTTAATGAAAGACATTTATATTTTGGCATTTTAATATTTAATGCGATGAACGGAAGATAAAATAAAATTAAAAGTGTACGTACGACTGTTGGTGTAAGACTGTTTCACAATTACAAAGAAGAAATTTCGTATCGTTTAAGATGCGATAATATGCATCGTATGTACAATACTACAATGTACATATTATATTTTACGAATATGTTCCTATAGAACAATTTTATCTTCTTTATCTATCACTATTTAACTATATACATTGTACATCGGCATATCTATATTTTATACCTTATTTTTGGTTTAGATTTGATACGCTCATGTCATTTTTCCGGTTTATGCAAGGTTTTTACTAGCAAGGGACTTACAAAATCGTTCCATTTCCGCGTTATGAAGGTTCCGTTTTATTGAAGTTGAGCGTCTATATAAAACTATAGGAACGTGCCAGGACTATAGAAAAATTCCGTATTGGATAGTTTTCCGTTTTATTCAGGGTCCACTTTAAACAGTTTTCACTGTATTATGTGATGCATATATGTACATTAATACTTTTGGATTAGATTCTAAACTTTCCAATGAATGTATTAATTCTGTAAAAAAAGAGTGTCTTATTTGTTTATTTTTATCTTTATTTACACGATAAGTAGATCAAAAAATGTTCCGATTTACAACTTTGATAGTAGTTTTTGATAGAAAATTGGATCTAATTTATACTTTTTTTTTTTGGACATAATTATAATTTAAAATTCTTAAATTCTCAGTGTTTTTCAAAATAATCGGAAAAAATAAACAAAAAATAAGAAAAACGAGAGCTTATATGCACAACTAGTTTTTGACAAAATACATTTTTAATAGTTTGTTTTAATTTTATCAAAATAACGAATCGCCGTAAATATTTGAAATTTGCACCAAATGTTTATGTAATTATTTTTATACATGATCACATTTTCAAAATACTTCGCTTTTTAAGTTATTTATATTTATTTGTGAAATGCTTACTTTTTTTTATTGCTATAAGTTTTGATAAAAAATTTGTCATTATAAAATAAATCTTAAAAATGTAGTACAGGTTTCTTTTAAATTTTTCATATGCCAATCAAAAAATATCGAAAACAAATTAAAGTCATAATATTTTTTTATAAACCTTTGTTGTTAAAATTATGCAAACTCCGTTGAAATTGCAAAATTTTTGCAAATTATTTTGTAATTAGATATACATAAAATGTCTAATTATTAAAGCTTAGACTTGAAATTTTAATACAAGACTACTTATAAGTTGAAACATTTTTTTTTAGAAACGTGTGTAACTAAAATATTCAAATTTGCACGAAATTATATTTAAACGAAAGCTTGACTTGAAAACTTATTCGTGTATAGTACATTTTTCTATAAACAATGACATTTTTTAAATAAGTAGGTTAATTTTAAGATACATGTTTATACCATGAATCTATCGACACTATTTTACAATAAGGTGGAGTTTACTCAAAAGCTTGTAAATAATATAATATGGTATAAATATATAGTAAGACGGTCGGATAGGATAGTTGTAGTATTTATACCCTTAATAGTTAATCCTTACCGAAACGGACTCTAGTGTAATACGCTCGGTAGTCGCGATCACTGACTACCAACACCTAGATCCATCGCAGCTGTTTGACAGAGTTCTTCCTATTTACGTTGGATCATGGTTTCTCATTGCACTTAAGCATCAACTCGCGTATTCAATTTACATCACACGAAGGGAATTTCAACGTTATTAGTCACCAGACAATTATGAAACCAACGTCCGGGTTCGAGTTTTACTGGGTGACAGATCGATGGTAAGACGTTTTTATCTTTGGATATATACCATACAGATAAGGTTTGAATATGTTCCGTGTTATCTGGCGTTAATATTGTGGCGTCCTATTTAATCATTTTACTACTTTAAATAATAAAAAAAAAGAAATAGAAAAAAAATATCATCAACATTTTTAATATGATAAGACGAGACGTAAGTTTTTTAAAAATAAAATCTATAAGAATGTACATATCAAATATGACATACATCAAAGTCAATACAATAATTTGACACTCAATTTTTAATTTAGATTCAATCCTCTAGCTCTGCGTAATAAAAGAGATTAGTAGTATCTACACAGTGCTTTCTACTTTCTTCTGTAACGTGCGCCACTAGTGACATTCAAATTAAACTTTCCAAAAGCAATACATGATTACATTAACTTTGTCTATTTTTGATATATTTAATACATACTAATTGCTAATGCTGAAAAATTAAATATTTTTATAGGTATTGTAATAACCAATGAAAAAAAATGTTTGAATGGTAAAAGTACAATCCATTAAGTATCATAATTAAATGCTCTATAAACTATATAACTAATAATAATATAATTTCAAAATAAGATTGTGCTTTTTGAGATAATTAGAAATCATTATTATAAAATAATTGCTTTTTTATTATATTACTTATCAAGATAATCAGTAAAAGCGGGCATTTAGTAAATTATTATATCTTTATTTTTTTAATTTTACTAATAATACAATTAATTTAAGTTGATAAACAAAATGTTGTTAATTTTACATCATTGCTTATACGGAGGCTGAAACTGAAAATCAATTTCGAGTGGTAATTAAAAATATAAAATTATTACTTTTGTTACAATAATCATACATTATTTATGGCCATGTGAGTTCCTAAATAATGTACTAATTAAACAACATTTAGCTATGGATTTAGTCTAAAGCTTGTTAATATTATAAATTTTCTAATTTCTGTTTAATAAAGCACAAGGTTTTGTGGTAACGCCATTAAATCCATCTAAAAGAGCATTGAACCCAGGGTATGGTTTTTCACAATTACAGCAATTATCGGGGTCATTGAAATCTAATAAAGAAGCTACAAATCCTGCTCCGTATTCTTTGGAAAATTTACCCTAAAACGTTAAATTATTAAAAATATTATTATTTACTGTATATAAAATTGTATTCGCTAAAAAATATTACCTTTTCATTAAATGATGTTTGAGAATCTACACACCAAGTACACGTTTCTTGTGGACGCAAACAAATCTATAAAAAAAATGTTGGTTTATAAAATTAATTAATATTTCGTATAATCAATAAAGATTTTTAGATAATTCAACTAGTTATTTATTATATTTCTTTTTTTTTCAAACTGATAAATTAATGCCCATTTAATAAGACAAAATAATTCTTAAATCTAACAGTACAACAATCATTCCTATATTACAGTGTTGGCCATCGAGAAAAGACTCCAGAGCCACTCAATATATTAATAAATATGGAAAAGCCGAAATGAATAAAAAAGATCATATAAATATATATATATGTGATAATCGTAAATAAGATAAGATATTAAATGTAATAAAATGTGCAGAATACGAAACAATATAAGATATTAATTAATAATTAATAATTAAAAATAAAATAAATACATGTTTAAATATTATATTAAAAATACTATATTTTTTTGTAAATTTTTTCTATAAATTGTAATTTAATAAAATATTATACTTCTTCAAATACATAAATTCATGTTGAAAAAAATTTTTTCCATTAAAATGTTTTATATCTTACGATAAGATGCGAGCTGTGTGAGTCTATAACGGCAGCTACAGTTTGACCATTCCTGCTATATTATATCATATTTACAAATGTTTTTTTCGTCGTAAACATTTAAAAAAAAAAACAGTAGATTTGTGTTCAGTAATTCCGATTTTATATTTTTAGCTAAAGAGAACACCGTACTCGCATTTGATCTTCGTCTTACTAACGTACAATATAGCAAATTTTATGCTGTTAGGTAACTTAAATATTAGAGTCAAATCACCTTCAATAAAATTTAAAGGCAAGAATATTATCAAGGCCATTAATTATAGACTTTTATTGATACTTTAATTTTAAACTGAGTTATAACTATGTACAATACTAAGACTCTAAAATATTCATGATAGACTCTAAAATATTCATGATTCACTTTAAAATTAAAATATCAATAAAAACCTTTATGGTGCTCTAAACAATATTTTTGCCTTTAAGTTTGATGATAATTTATTTGACTCTAATATCAATACTAACAACATAAAATGGATTCTGTTGAGCGCAAATTGTCTACGTTAGTAAGACAGACAGAGACAACACATGCAGGTATGGCGTCCTCTTTATTAAATTAAATTAACCTAGTATCAAATTTAAGGGTAACGACATCATATTCTGAGCTTTATCGTTGGTTTTTACAATATTTTAATTTTTAAGCGAGTTATGAGTATTTTTAAATATTAATATTTTATTTATTCATAACTTCCTAAAAAAAAATATATCGTAAAAATCCAACAAGAAGAAAACACAGATATTCTTATTTTTAATACATTTGATAATAGGTTAATTTACTCTAATATTTAAGGCATTTAAGCCAACATAGAATGGGAACTGATGAACATAAATAAATTATGACATGCTAGACGTTAATAAAAAATATAACACATCCAGAAGTCCTCTTAATATTCAAAGATACATTTTTATTTTTGAAAACATTCATTCATTAATTCAAATAAAAATAATAATAGCTTAAAATTTGTCACATCTAAGCACCAAAATAAACAGAAAAAATAGTTAATTAACATTTTATTTTTTATTTTTCTCGGTATTTTAATTGAGCTGATAAGTCGTGATTTTATTTTGTAGGCAAAGGAACATAAATTATATCATACTCCGTAGCTGTGATCGATTAGGCATAGCACATGACCATATCAATAACTTAATTAATAATAAATTATTTATCAGTTCATATTAAATTTGTATACCTGCTCCGTGGTTAAATCACAATTCGTTAGTGAATCATTGGGATCAGATGTTGGACTAATTCTAAATTTAAAATGTGTTTTTTCTTTCGGAATAGATGCCTGCTTTAAGACGTCTTTTAATTTGTCCTAGAAAAAATTATTGATTATTAGGTACAATTCTGCGATTTCTAGATAATAATGTTTCAATACCATCGTATAATTTGTATTTGATGCAGTCATTGGAGCTATTCCTCCTCTAAAGTCCTCGGTGCAATCGTTAAAGCACATAAAAGAAATAACGTAAAAATCTACAGCCGAATCTATTACATTGATATCCAACCCTTTTTAAAATATTTAAAACAGAAATTAAATTTGTAATTAAAAAAGAATCATTAAACTAATATTTTTATACAATACATTATATTATTATAATATAAATTGTACTTTTTGTCGTTGTACACGTGGACTATGGGTTCTTTTTTAACAATTGATCAATTGATAAACTTGTTATTAATAATGTGAAGCATCTCTTTATTTTTTATGTGCTATTTTTTCATGATAATTAAACATCCCTTAAGAAGAAAACTAAATTACCAATAACCTTATTTTTGTATATTTACAGCTATTTTTTAATGAACTAAATGGTAGTGCATATTTTTTTAAAAAAATTTTGAGGCTTGATTATCATTAATTTTGGAAAATCATTGAAATTAGCATGGATTATATGTATATCAAGGTAATATAATACATGTGTATAATTAGAAATCTTCTATTTTTAGTAAATGGTTTAAGCATGGTGTTATTACGTTATTAGTATAAATTTTTGAGCTATTGCTAAGACATTTGCGTAGGGATGTGATAAAGAGTTGTATTATTTATCAATTAAATTAGTATACTGATTGAACATTCAGATTTTCATGTATAATTTGTTTAAATTTAAGTGTATAGTCAAGCTTGTTATTTAATTTAAAATTCAAAAATATTTAAAATAAAACTATTAATTAATAAACTAACCTAAGAAAGTTATTGTTAATAAATTAGAGTACCAAAACTAATGATAAAACCTAATTTTTCAAAATGATACAGACATCAATTTAATCATTGACATTCAAAATTAAGTTAATTTTATTGTCAAAACTACGTGCTTAAAAATTTAGAACAATCATAAAATAATATCCCATGAAAAATTGAGAAATATATATTTTCATTTTATTAAAATACTATTTTATCGATCAATATGAAAAACAATATTTATGAATATAACGAAAAAAGATATACTCTGTTTCTGTAAAAATTTAAGACTTAAGCTTTTATATTTATAATTTTTTAATTATTATAAATATATAAATATATACAGATACTTACAAGGTATCATTGGATTGGTATACTGATCAATTGGAAATCCTCCCGTGAAAACAAGACCAATAATTAAATCGGGAAAACTTTTTTTCATCACCTCGAGATATGTTTTTAAATTTTCAGAAAATCCCGGAAATTCAGGGGAATCATACTAAATAAACGAAATCAATTATAAAAAATATTCGTTAAATATTTTTTTGTAATATTATAAATATAGATAACTTGGACATGTGTTCTGCTTCTGATTATTAAATTAGAAATATAGAGTTTAAAAAATAAAACATTCACAAAGTTAAAAATTGGATGAAAATTCTAATTGGTTAAGTACAGGTATAAACGATTAAAATCATAAAAATGTATCATTATATAAGTGTCCTACATTGTTCTTTACTAAATTTTTAGTGTACCTATAAATATTTATTAATAAATAAGTTAGCCCATGCATTTCGATTATATTATATTATAAATTTATAATCCTTTAGCCATTGTAATATCATTGAATAATGATGAAAATATAATTTTGTTGATTCAATTAACATCAAGAAGTTTAAACTGAAATTAAGTATACTTATTATAATAATTTCGAACAATAAAATTTAAAAATACTTCTTTAGCCATACCTTTTTACATAGAATTCTATTCAAATTTAACTTATTTATAAATAATAGTATTAAGTATATGTATGAACAATTGTATTCATTATGTGAAGAATCTGTGAGAATTTTAAGATAAATTTGATTATAGAATTATTTAGCTAAATATAATTAAAATTTAATTAGATATAATATATCACAACTTGAATATCTTACAGGAAAAATTAGAACATTGCTTTTATTTGTTTAAAAATCAAAAGTAAATAGATTCTTACATCATACTCTAAACCTGAAATAATAAGACCAGCGATCCCTGGATGTTCATCTAAAAAAGCTTTTAAGCCTTTCATTTCATCTAACGAGTTGGTTCCTCCATTGCAAGACTCACAAGCAAGTATTTTAGTCCATTCTTGTATAGTCATATAACCGTAGTATAAAAATACACGCTTAGAACTCTTCAATATTTTGTCTAAATTTACTATATAAATTATAAAACACATGAATATTGAATATATTTTACATCAAAATATTTAATATTAAGTAATAATTTTTTTTTTTTAATTCTATTATCCAGAGTATTAAACCAAATGGCTATAGACTATACATCAATAGTCTTTTAAGACTGGATTAACCATCAGGTAAAACAAGCACATAATAATGGTACCAACCAGAAGAGGGGCACCACAAATGTTAAACTAAATTAATTTTTTGATACTTTCACACATTAAACCAAAATAATTTTATGAAAATTTTCAGAACATGAGATATTTTCTTGTGTTTTAATTTTAGATCCTTCAAATTTTGTTACAACTCTAAATTTAAGCCATATCGATATACCAAAAATATTTACTAAACTAATAAGTATTTTAAACAAATTTGATCCTAGCTTAACTGTAAGAACATTTACAGAAAAATTTAAAGATTTTGCATCTAAATGTTCTAAAACGAATTAACTTGTTGATAATTATGACTAGGAAAAATTATTATAGTATGACGATAATAATGAGGACAATGAGGAAAAAACTGATAAAAACATAATTTAATGTAAATATTGTATTGTATGTTATTTTAAAGTTTTACAAATCTACAAGTTACATTCTATAGCATATTCAAATTTATTTTTAGCGTATAAGTTTATCTTAACACTGTCTTGCACGCAAATACGCTGTGAAACATCGTTTACAAAGTCAAAGTGTATACTAAATAGATTCAGAAATTTTTTTTATTGCAAGAAAAAATGGATATATTTTTATTAATGAATATTGAAATAGACATTTTGCAAAACATAAAAAATGAAGACGTCATCGAATTATTAACTAATCTGCTAATAAAAGTATTTTATTGAAATATTTACTCATTTGAAAATTATGTGACATAATATTTATATTTATTTTTTAACCTCGTACAATATCTATTGTTTAATAATAATAAAAAACTATTATAATTTTATTGGCGTTGTTCGTAATTATAATACCAAGTGTTTAAGTGTTTGATTTCAAATTAGAGGAAAAGAGTATAGTGTTTTTATTTAAAGTATTCGATTCAGTTAATTAATTATTGTTATACGTATACTAATAAAATTTGTATAAATTTGGAAAAAAATTGTTTAGGAACTTGGGCTGGTCTCGATGAACAGCCCGGTAAATTATTTCTTCCCAATCCGACATAGATATTAAACAATACAGGTGAAAGAATACCTAATTGAAGAACTCTTCCATTAATTATGGCTATATTTGAAGTGGGGAAACCGTGACATATTTGGAAATGTTGATCTATAATATATGACATATTACATGAATAGTAATAGAGTAGTAATGAGTAGAAAGGAGGAATTTATGGAATTTAAACAAAATCTCTTTGAGCCAAATTCTGTTAAAATCCTGGGAGATGTCTAAAAAGACAAGTACAACAAAATTTGTTTTTAAATGAAGTAGAGAATGCATCAACTACTCTATCTACTTTATGTATCGTAATGTGCTTGACTCTAAAGCCAAATTGAGAAGATGAGAGTATATTGTTTGATATTAAGTATGAAGAAATATACTTGAGAACGAATGTTTCAAAAAGTTTTGAAAAGTATGATAAGTTACTCATAAATTTAGAAGATGTTATGTCTGGAGATTTATCCAGCTTAGCAAACATTATTATTTGTGGAAAATTCTAAAGAATGGAAAGTCTTAAAGTAGTATTGAAAATATAAGTTAAAAGTATAATGGTCTTGTTTGACAGACAATTAACTGAATTAGCCGTTATCAAATCAAACTCTGGGATTTTTTTATTAGACTATTTCAATATTGTATTTTTTACTTCATTAAATATTTTTCAAGGTAAACATTTAGTAAAGTAGAATTTAAAATGAGTACATTTTTAATAAATAGTTATTATTTTATTATTTTGGACCATTATTGCGAGTTGATAACAATATAATTATGATGATTAAACTATTTGCCTATTCGCATATAATAATAATAGTAATAATATTCAAATGAAATTTAAATGCAGCCCGTTGTCTGGTGTTAATTTTATGGCGTCCTATTTTATCGTTTTACTGTTTTTGATAATAACTAAAAGAAATAATACGTCATCAAATTTTAAACTATAAAAGGGGGAGACGTAATATTTTTAAAAATCTTCAAGGATGATCGTAGAATTAGAAAAATAAGAAACACTAGACTATAGCATATGTACATCGATGTACAAAAAAATAAAATTCTTGACTTTCCCAATGTCTACATTTGCCTCCGAATTATTTTAACTTAAATAAAAAGTGTACAACTGAGTGCTCTTTTTCATAATTGAAGTGAAATGTCTATGTATTATATTACCATAGTCTAAATAACAATGGAACAATATCGGTTTGGCCTTTTTTATATATATATATGTTACGGGCAAAAGCCGAAATCGGGCAAACCTCAGAAATGCCCGGGCAAAACGCGAATTGCCCACAATCCTTGGGCAAAATGTCATATTTCGGCTTTTGACCGGGCAAACCTAGTTATGACCAACATCATTTGGGCAAAACCGCCAAAACCGTATACTGACTTTCATCGTAAGGACAAAACCGTAGATTTTTAAATACGTTCGCTAATATTATAAACAAATTTAATAATTATAAAATAAGTATTATTGTACAAATATATAAAATTAATATATTTAAACCTCACTTGAGTCACTGTAGCGTTTTAAATAACCACTAATATTAAATACAAAACAATAATAATCATAAAATATTGTACAGATATAATTAAATACACTTAAATAATAATAAAAATATAATGATATTAAGTACTCGCATAAAAATAAACATGTAATAATATTAGGTTCTCTATAATGTTAAAATAAATAATTAATAAAAAATATTGTACAGATATAATTGAATATAATAATAAAAAAATAATATTTTTGCTTATTTGTTGTTACACATATTAGAACTACACACAATTTAAAACGCTACAGTTTGACTCAAGTGAGGTTTAAATATATTAATTAAGTTTATTTAATTATATTTGTACAATAATACTTATTTTATAATTATTAAATTTGTTTATAATATTAGCGAACGTAATTAAAACTCTACGGTTTTGTCCTTACGATGAAAGTCAGTATACGGTTTTGGCGGTTTTGCCCAAATGATGATGGTCATAACTAGGTTTGCTCGGTCAAAAGCCGAAATATGACATTTTGCCCAAGGATTGTGGGCAATTCGCGTTTTGCCCGGGCATTTCTGAGGTTTGCCCGATTTCGGCTTTTGCCCGTAACATATATATATATATAAGCCAATATTCTATTTAAATTACATTTTCTAGAGAAACTATAAAAGTTGAAAAACAATTTTTAATCTAAGTTAAATAACAATTTTTATTGAAAATAATTCACTACTTTATATTAAAAATAACACTATTGTTTAATTTTTGATTTCTTTGAATACATTATTTTTTAAACCGTTATTAGTTATTACTCATTAGTTATAAATTAATTATAGTTTATTTTATTTTATAAAATTTATTTAGGGTACCTATATATTTCATTAGCTTTGCCCTCATCTTGTTTGAAACAGCTGAGTTGTTACATTATTGAGCTTTATTCGCACCAACAGGCTATATACTAAATACTAGAGCCGTCATGACGGTGACGAGGTGAGCAGGATCTTTCTTCTAGAGCCTCGTACTTTAATGAAGGATTCGCAGCTAATCACTTATATTTTTTTTATTTATATTTCTTAGTCTTGTAAAACCTACACTTACTAATAATAAATAATAATCTATCAAAGTTAAGAATTCACGGAAATATTTTTACCACAAAAATGTTTGTTATATGCGTGAAAATATATAATAAATGTTTAATGTACCTAGGTACAAGAAAGTATTTAAAAATAATCATTTAATAATTTGTAGTATACTTTGACCAAGATCTCGCAAACCTTAATTCTGTCACTGCTAAGTAGGTACATTTCATATTATTATTATACAACTACAAATTATTTGAAAATAACTTAATCTTCATTTATCTGTGATACATTAACAAGTTTTCTTAAAATCAGTCCCAAAAATTAAGTTGAATAATTTCTTATACATTTTACACATCATAATTATCAAAATTTGTTTAATATGTTATATGTATTCTATTTTTAGTAATACTACCTAACGTTTTATCATCTTCGATGATTTGGCCAGGTTCGTCGAGTACATAAACATGATATTTTAAATCCACATAAACCCCATCGTAAAATATAGCTGTGCAAGTCTCTGGTGTTTTTGAAATTTGAACATCCGATAAACTACATCTCTTAGCACGACCACCATCAAAACAGCATGCCGATATGCCAACGCCTAAACATAAAATAATAGGTAAACTCATATAGTCATATTTTTTTTTCGTTGGTTTTTAACATAATAATGCATTGTCTGAAATATAATTAAGCATAGGTAACCTTAATAAGTCAGCAAACTAAAATGTTATTACAACCAAGTATACACTATCATATTTTATTTTATTAGCTAATTTATTTTTGAGTTATTTTTGTTTCTCAAAAAATTCCTATACGTACTAGGCAAGAACAGTATAAGTTATGTAATTGATTTCAAATTTCAATACCTAAAATCCACAGACAGAGATTTTTAAGTACGAACAATATTCATTGAATATAATATAAAACATATTAAAAATTTTAATACTATAGACTTCATCCGGATAAAAATAAATAAGTATAAAACATGATGATCTGTGAATTATGGTTTTAATATAGTTCAATTCAAGGAAATAATCCTTAACCTAAACCAAAATGTTCGAATTATTATATTCGATCCGATCAATAAATATTACACAAAACGATAAATTTCAAAATTACCGAAGATATCTAAATATTTTATATAATTATTTTAAAATATTGTAACTTTATAGTATTTAAATAGAAAACATTTATTAGTTAAAAAAAAAAAAATAACTTATTATATTTGTTAGTAAATAAGTTGTATGTAACCGTATAGGTAATAATCGGATCGGAAAATTGGAACGAGTGCAATTTGACTTCATCAAAAATCGATGTCTGTGTAAATCGTTTCGCAGGAGAATCCGAGTATCTAACAGTTGGGAAATCTGGTAGGCAGTAGCAATGAATTAGAAATAGCTATTGGTACATTTATTAAACAGGTTAACTGGTTGAATATGTAACAACAGCATAAATAATTCGGTGGCGAAGTGACTCAATTTGAGTTTTTTAATAGAGCATTTAAGCAAGCCAATTTTTTTCCAGACCATTTTTTTACTGAAGAAAGTAACAATAATATATGTATTATATGTGTGTGTGTGTGTGTATAGCTTTGAAGGTTTAAACATTTAATAAATTAACAAATTAAAAAATTGGAAAAATATTTTTTCGTGCATATCAATAATAGGTACATAATACATATATTGATAAACAATAAGTATATAATATTAACCCAACATATTAAAATATATTATACGCATTATGTTTTATTTTTTGTGAAAGGAAAATAAAAAGTCAAAAGTAACTTTTGAAACAGAAAATACAAAATTAAAGGAATAATTCAAAAATAAATAGCTGTATAATTCTATTTATTTTAACATTTTTGTACGTAAATAATTATTTTAAAACATACTTACACTCTACAGTAATTAAAAAATATCGAAAACGTTAGTTGTAACTATTTTTATATTATCATTTAAAGTTTAAATATTTACTTAAGTCGTAAAAAACATGAAAATTAACAAGTTATTTTGTAATTAAAAATTCAAGAATTTTTCTTTTTAGTGGCAAAGTCTTGAAATTGGAATACCTACGAGATCCTCATAATCTTTTTTTACATGAATTTAAAAAAATGTTATACTTTAAGCTATTTATACATTTTGTATATGCAGTTGAAGTTCAAATTCTGATAGCATAGAATAATCTTATCAATTAAAACGAAATTATCATATAATATCCTTAAACTATTTTTTTAATTGTTTATAAGACATAATATATAAACTGTAGAAACTTGAAACATTCTTCTATCGCTTAAATTATAATTTATTAAACACAATCAAATTTCAAAAGTATTTTTATAAATTTTAAACTAGTTGTAAATAAACATATTGATCAAAAAATTTAAAAATTTAATAAAAGATTTCACATTAATGGTTCTTATAGCAATTATTAACAATTAATGTGACTATATATGTGAAAATAAAATATTAAGAAAATTACTAAAACTTATGAAATTCTACACCAAATAACGAATACTAATGTACGTGTAAAATTGAATAGGTAGTTATAAAATCACATTTGTGTATAAATTTTAATCATGTTTTTTTTTCGGTAATTATAATATATTTAAACATAAAGCTCACCACCTTTTGGATCTTGAGGTTGTGCGTGTACTGTTAACATGAGAATGTTACTAATTAAAAGTAAAACATTGTAAAAGTACATTTTTATAGATGTTGTGTATTATTATGCAAATCTAATACTTTATTCACACATACCGTCGGAGTTATTAATTTTTATTCAAGTAAGCGATATAAAAAGTTTTAATAAAATTATGAGTTAATTTATTTTAACTATTCTAAAAACAGTGTGTTTTTAATAAAATAATTTAAGTTGTATTGATTTATTGTTTTAAATATTTACATAAAAACTATTTGCACAACGAATATCAACTGTGTATTAACAAAATTTATTAAGTGAGTATATATATTGCGTGTACAGATATGTTTTTTCAATTTATGTTATATAGGTAATAATTAATAACTATTTATAGGATATTTATAACTAAAAACAACCAAAACTTATTAATGCTACAACAACAAAATGTACGATAAAAATAGCTGTTAACATACACATTATCATCATTCTATTTATATAGTTTTATTTTTTAATTAATGTGCGTTATTTACGAGTTTTTAGTTCATCTGTTTATATATTTAATATTATATAAATTATACACGATACATAAGCCGCCGCGCCAGTTCGGTTACACGAACATATTAACACAACTGCCATGAATTTTGTTCAATATCGTACAATGTTTCTAACATAGGTCAGACCACACTTTTTTTTCCTCAACACTGAGAATGGATTTATTGCCTTACCAATTTCCATGTTGGATTTATTTTATTTTTCAATACGTAACATAATCATATGTTTAAATAAAATTATGTTGGCGAGGTTAAGAATTTAGTATAATTTTAATATTATATATATATATAGGTATATATAATTTTAAAACAAAACAAAAAATTATCTGAGCTAGAAGTAACTTTACTGTGCATTTCGATTTTACTTTTTAAATAAAGAATAAAAAATATGTGACGTTTAATTAACAATTTGAGAATTTTTGTTGCCTAATGTTTTAAGATGAAGTTAAACAATTTAACTTAAATTTAGATTTTATTTTTTGGATAAACGATATCTTGAATCTTATAATGTTTTAAAATGAATAAGTATATTGTTTATAAACTTTAAAAATAACTGTTAGAATAAAAAAAACTACTACCAAATCTTAATGAAACTGAAGAAAAATATGTATTACCTATTATTATTAAAATTTAAAAAAAAACAGTGCACGTTAAAATACTTACTTCCAAACTCACTTCATAGAACAAGTAAAAACTGTTTAAATACTTCACCTTTACAAACTATAAACACATGTCATATAAATAAATTAAGTTAATGAATTTTTTTTTTTAATATGGACAATATATTAATATTATTATGATCATATAATCACTATGTAATAATATATAATAATAAATGAAAAAAAATGTTACCTTCATATAATAGCATTTGTAATAACTACTAAGTATTATTGTACTAAAACCATAGGACATATTATATCCTATTTATTTTCAATGTACAGTTTATAAGGTGTAACAAATATGTTATCGTTATCTTATTTTATATGATTACATAAAACTTAACAGTGTTACATTCGTTATTCTCCATTTAAATATCAAATTTGACGATATTTGAATTTTATTAATTTTAAATATTATTTATAAGAAAATTGTACTTAGAAATTATTTTAAAATTTTATAAAGTTTCAGAAAGAACTAATAAGAAACTATGTAAATATGTAATAAATGTTCAAGCCTTAGCTATAAAATTTAAGAATCGTATACATTTTCGATAACTAAATAATTTTAAAACTCTCCTGGTTGCATTGCATAATTAATTCCTTTCATGATGTCAATTGTCAAATTGTATGTATTAAGTTAAATATTACATTTAATTAGAAAAAAAAATACAAGTTAAAGAAATTGATTATTATTTAATTATACAAGGAATTTACTATTGTGGCACATGCCACTAATAATAGTCTATAGCATATCTGCGAGTTTTAGTTTTTTTTTTTAAATATTAAATTGTTAAAATTTTAAATTGATGCTTGAAACATCAAAAAATAAAAATGAATCATACATAATAATTAAAATCCATCATAACAACATTAAAAAAATATATATTTTATAGTGACAGATTATTTTCTTACATAAAAAAAAATATTTAACCAAATGACTTTATTACCTGTATATGTATTTCCTGTTATTGGAAACTTCAAGTTAGTGAGTAAAATAAATTATAAATACAGATAATTTGGAAGTTGAATTGTATATAGAAATCATCAATTGAAAAATAAGTGAACAAGTAGGTAACCACAAACCACTCCGATGTAAATAATTGTAGCTTGTAGGCACTGTAAAAGTATCAAATGTATACCGGCTATCTCATCATTAAGTAATAATCATTGTATCATTGGATGATTTGAATTAAATGATAAATCATTGCATACAAAAAACAATTTTTGACGGAGACGTTCAACCTTATTACTTAATAATTTTATTAATTTATTATAAATTATTTATATTGATATTAAAGTAATATATTAAGTTAAATTAAATTAGTCAAAAACATCGGGCACATGATGTATTATAATAATGTACAATAGTATTATTGTATATTATGTTATTATTACTATTAACTTCTTAATAAAAATCGACTTACCTATGCGGCTAGGTATGCCGTAAAACTGTGCTAATAGGTTCATAATATATTGTAAACGTATAAATAAAAAATATATTTTTTTTTAGATAATTTGAATATTTTGAAAATTACATTGTGTGTAGTAATGTAGTAAAATATAATACATTAATAATACATAAATACACATAATAGTTTCAAGTCTCCCATATTTTTGAATAACAAAAAACTAATTAAAACTCATTATTCATTTGAATAATCAATTTAGTCAAAATTTGAATTTACAAGTCAATAAGAAAAATGTTGTTTAGATATTTTTGAGATTTTTGTAGAGTTACAGAAAAAAATACTTTTAGAAATACTGTAGATACCTTTATTACATTTTAAATCCTAGTAACGATAAAAATTTAAATTATTATAAATTTAACAAGTTTAAGTTCTGTACCTTCCTAGAAACATAGGTATCAAAATGTCAAAAAATGATAATTTATTAATAAGTTACTCCTAAAAGCATTTTACTTTTATTTCTTAAAATATTTACGATATTCATTGAAAACATATTTCGTAATTTATTTTTTAGACGTTGGATAGATTGTTTTATGATAAAAAATACAACCAGCTAAATGTTTAAATCTCAATGAATGGTTCATAAATAAATTACCTACGAGTTTAATAATGTAATAAGTTTGTTTTTAATTGATGAAAATTACTTTAGCTAATTTATTTAATTTTTAGTTCGATATCACAAGTAATATTGTTAACACTGATAATGATAAACGTTCGTTTATGTCATTATTCCTTATCATATGCTTCGTAGTTCATTATCATCGGCGTTCACATTATTATTTACTTTCGCACGTGATTTTACATTTATTTAATTTATTGTTCTCGACGGTCTTCAGCATTAATTGAATTATGGATGCTATACTCGACACGATTCCTCAGTTAATCAAGGATATTGAACAACTGGAGGATTTGAAAGAGGAGAAGGAAAATGAACGACTAGCGTTGGAATCTCAAAACCAAAAACTCAGATATAGGTTAAAGTTTTTAAAAGAGGTTTGTATCATTGGCAAAATAAATATTATTACTTATTAGAATAAACAAATGTTTTAAAACGACATTAGTACAAAAAAATAGTTCTCTATTGTTTCGAAAATGTCTGATAACAATCCGTCACTGTTCGTGACGGCTCCGTTTTAAAATATATATATAAATTTACTACTATTAAACCAATTTACCTAAAAGATAAACATAGATATATACATTAAATTTTGGATAGATCATAATATGCATTTTCTTATGATAATTGTATATTATATTTTATACTAGTTAATTACACAAAACCCTTAATATCTTAAAATGTATTCTCTATTACCTTAGTAATTATTTAAGTAACGTATTACTTACTTAGAAACATTTAGATAGATGAGGTGTTCTGATTGCTATTAATTTCTTAAATCAAAAATAATTATTGTTATCTATAATCATGATATCTAATTCAATCATTATATAAGTATATCTAACAATTTTAAAGTATGCGTTTAATAAAAATAATAAACATTTATATAGTTTATTTTATTTTAAAACATAAGTATAGTTAAATTATTTTTGGTTGTAGGATTATTATTATACAGACAATTTAACATATGAGTTGTTTTTGATGTATAATAATTTATTTTGATTTACCTAGACTAAAAAAACTAAACTAGAATAAATTTCTACCTACATCAATAATCCAAGCACTAAATCAAATACATTTTCATGTTTTAGTTTCTTTAAATTTTTAAGACAGTTATACATTTTGTTTAATTATATTAGGTATATATATTAATTATTACTTATAACCAGGGCTGTGAATTTCATGCACTAAAAAAGTCTTGAATATGCATGCATTTATGCACTAAAAACAAGTGAAATATGCTTTAAAATATGCACTATAAATTATAAAATTTAAAAATATGCAAAATATGAAAAAAAAAATTATACTCACATATACTGGATGAAAAAACGTTTTATTTAAATAAATATTGTAATTACTAATTATAAAATGACTTGAAAAATGGACTTGTAATAATAATAATAAATGCTTCAATGTTCTATTGTTCTTCGACGCCTGAAAAAAAACATTAAATATAGATAGAACACATTGTTTTATAGATATTTAAACAATTTATTTGTTTACCTGCAAAATAAGTATTGCATTGTACAATCAGCGATTTCTTTATATTTTCAAACTTGAATGATCTCCTATTTGGCGCCAAGAGGTTTTTGTACACAGAAAATGAACGCTCTACATCAGCTGACGTGGTAGGGGCATACTTGAAATATCCCATGTCACTACTTGTTAAGTTTTCAGGTATATCTAAACAACCAACGTTTTCTTCTTCTCCGTTTAATATTTTTGAAATATTGCAAACAATTTGAAACCCTTTATTTTTAGTAAGAACTGTCTGTAATTTCTCGTTAATTTTGATTCCGGTCTGGCATTTTAAATTATTGAATTTGGCTGAAACATCTTCAATAATCTGTATCGCTTCTATTAATGCCATGCCTTGTTTTTGAAGACGTGTTATAGCCGTAGGAAGGCACTCAAAGTTTGATTTTATAAATGCTAAGTTACCTTTAATCTGTGGTGCTTTAAAATATTTTTGAGCATTTCTAATTGAAAGCGCATCATCTTCATCAAAACTTTCAACAATATTTTTTACAATTTGGAAGTTTTCACAATAATATATTGAAGCGGAAATCCATATTCCCCATCGTGTCAGAATTGGTTCGGGGGGTAGAGCTATATTAGGCGCATCAGTCTTAAATTTTATAATACGAGATGGTGCCTTTTTAAATACTTTTTTAACATTAGCAACCAGTTTATCTACTTTGGGATATTGAATACGGATATATTCGGCAACTCTATTTAATCCATGTGCTGTGCATGTTACATGGACCATTTTTGTGTACAACACTTTCAACGTATCTCTTCAGCGCGTTTAACAGATTTACGATGTTTTTCGGCTGCGATATGCTGAGTTATAGAAAAACGTTTTTCACTTGAAACTTTCGTATTACATACTTTGCAAAATAAAATTTTGTTATCTGTTGAAAATATTTCTGTTCCAAATTCAGTAACATAACTTTGTAAACGACTAGATGTCGTCTTTTTTTCTTTTGGCATTTTAAAATTATGCTTGTTAAGTGTTAACTAATAGAAAATTTAAACGAAAATATTACAAACAACGTATTACCACTCACGAGACGACGACAACACTATCGCGCGTCGGTTTGTCTACCATAATATAATAGATTAAGATTAAAGATATTTCAAGTTAGACTTTTGACCACAGACCTGCGATAATAACAGGAGACAATTGCATGCCACTCTAGACCGGGTTTAACACATGTTCCTGTTATTATTACCACCGCGATAAAATTACAACGGTAAAATTGTATCGTCCAAATTCAAGAAATTTTACAAATTAATGAGAAAAACATATTATTCAAATGAGAAAAAAGCAAAAACAAGAGGAATTCGCGAAATCATGCATTTATATGCCCTTACCGGTTAAATATGCAAAAATATGCAAAATAAGATTTCGTATTTAATTTATAAATAACGCAAAACAAATTTTGATCAAATCCATTTTCTTATACAATGTAGCAAAAAAAACATGCAAGTGCATGAAATTCACAGCCCTGCTTATAACATAATACACAGTAAAAAATATAATTGACACTCAATACACATATTTGAAATGATTTATATCATTGAATTTAAAAGAATACCACATTCACATAAGTTGTTTCTGTCTTACAAATGTACACATAGCAAAATATTGTGTTTTAAAGTTACAATTTTGTATAATAATCTATAATATTATAGTCATTAGTGATTTAACCTATCATCAAACTTAAAGATAAAAATATTATCTGTATTTTTTTTATTGATTTTTCTTGTCATATTTTTATTTTAATGCAAATTATGAGTATATAAAAGTATTATAATTTAAATATTTTCATAACTTAAAAATTTCAATATTGTAAAAAACTCCACTAAAAAAAATAAAAAAATAATGTTCTAGCCTTTCAGTTTTATGAATGAATTCACTCCAATATTTAAGGTTACTTAACTAATTTGGTACCGTGAACACTATTTTACTATACTGTATCTATGTTAGCAAGAAGAAAACAACATATACAAGTGTGATATATTAACATAAACTAATTAGTATTTACAAATTTTTAAAAATTTACTCTTGTTTGAGTTTGTATGGATGCAAAATAAAATATAAGGTGTATGAATACAGAATTTATAATAAAATAATATTTATATAAATAAATAATTTATAATAAAAAAATTTTAAATCTGCAAAAGAATAATTTATATCTTTTTGTTTTATTTTAGAATACTTACTTACAATTTTCTCTTTTTAAGTTTAACTAGAAGAGTATAAAATTATAAACGTTTAAGTATATTCTTGTATTTTTTATACAAATAATTTGTTTTTATACTTAGTTAATCAATTGCTCAGTACCAAACACTAAATTTTAAATTTTATGTCTATAAATAATATATTTATTTAATTTTCTTTATTATATTAAAAACTGACTAATATTTTAAAGCCTATTAACTTATATAAGTAAATACCTTATAATGTCTTGTAATTTTTTTTTTTTTTATGTGTATAGGCTGTGGCTAAAGAATCAAACGAGAAATCAAACATGGATTCAATAAATATTGAAAATCACTCTTTAATTAATTTACATTCTATATTAATCAGTTTGTTTTCAAATGCTATTAAAAAAGCATATCCAACCTTAGAAGGCATTGATCAACCTGCAGTATCTGCTGGTAGTAAATTTGCTGACTACCAGTGCAATGCATCAATGCAAATATGTAAACTGTTGAAAGCAAAAGGTAATATTTGAACTATTCATAGCAATAATTATTCTAATTATTTTTTTTCTTCTTAATTTATTTTACAAGATAATAGTTTAAAATGAACAAGTATATATTTTGTTCAATTATATAATCTTTAAATATTGAAGTACAATATTATATCGAATTTAAAATGATAAATATTACTGCTACTAATGAATAATTTATTAATAAAATAAATAATATATATATTTCAGGTGAAAATATCTCACCTAATGCAGTCGCTAAAAAAGTAGTGGAAAATTTGGGACAATGCGATATTATTGAAAAAGTAGATGTTTCTGGACCAGGATTTATTAACATTTGGTTAAATCGTAATAAATTAAGAGATATTTTACAGTGTGTACTGGAAAATAAATTGAAACCAAAGCCTTTAACTAATCCAGAAAAGGTTGTAATAGACTTTTCATCACCTAATGTTGCTAAAGAAATGCATGTTGGTCATTTAAGGTTAGTGGAATTAACTACTAAAATATGATAGCACCATTCACTTTTATTTATAAATTTAGGTCAACAATTATTGGTGATAGTCTAAGCCGTGTATTCGAATTTATTGGTCATGATGTATTAAGATTAAATCATATTGGGGACTGGGGTACGCAATTTGGTATGTTAATTGCTCTACTTCAAGAAAAGTTCCCTAATTATAAGACCGTATCTCCTCCTATAAACGATTTGCAAGAATTTTATAAACAGTCCAAAGTACTTTTTGATAGTGACTTAGAGTTCAAAAAGCGGGCATATGATTGTGTTGTAAAATTACAAAGTATGTCACCTGATCATGTTCAAGCTTGGAAGTTGATTTGTGATGTATCAAGAAAAGGTAGTGTTTATATTATAATACTTAATAGTTAAAAAGTATAGATATCAGTGTTATATGTTACATATCATAAACTTACTTGAATGCAATCTGCCTCCATTAATCATTCTTTTATTTAAGCATAAGAATTAATATTTTTATTTTAGTTAATTAATTAGTATTAAATATTTAATCAACATTATGATCTAACATCAATATATGTCAATTTTAAACCTGTAACTATATTTTTTTATATCTATTAAAAAAAAAAATTGCATACATCAATTTTGGTTTATGTATATTTTTAAATTACAAATAATACTTTGTAAAAATGTAGTCTTAATGTTTATTTAGTATTAATTTAATATATTTAAACTGAATTAGACATGATACATAAAATAATTTATCAGTTTCAGTAGATTGCATGCAACTCTAGTAACAATTTATTTTTAACTTGCAAATTTTTTTTAGAATTTCAAAAAATATATGAAAGATTAAATGTCAACATCATTGAAAGAGGAGAATCATTTTACCAAAGTCGAATGGAAAATATAGTAAAAGATCTGGAAAGCAAAGGTAATTTTTAAAGTTTTAAATTTATTTTTATATTTTACTTGGTTAAGTAAATAAACCTTAGATAATAAATTTCTTGAGTAACCTAAATACTATGCAACTAGAAATAAAATTCAATTATATCACAAAATTACTGTATTCAATTTGTTAATTTTCATATAACTAGGATTTTTGGAAAATGACGATGGTAGAAAAATTATGTGGAGTCCAGAGTCCTCAATACCATTAACCATAGTAAAGTCTGATGGTGGATTTACATATGACACATCAGATATTGCAGCATTAAAACAGAGAATTGAAGAAGAAAAGGCTGATCGCATTATTTATGTCACTGATTCTGGACAGGTTTGAATCATTTTAACAAATATACTTTTTTTATAATCTAATGTTTTTTTTTTTTTTTTAGAGTGTACATTTTGAGACCATAAAAAAATGTGCAATTCACTCTGGTATTTTAGATCCATCTAAAGTACGTATGGACTTTGTTGGTTTTGGTGTTGTGTTGGGTGAAGATAAGAAAAAGTTTAAAACCCGTTCTGGTGATACTGTTCGCCTAGTTGGTCTTTTAGATGAAGGTAATATTTTTATATTTGCTAATTTATTTATTAGTTTTAATTCTTTGATGAAAATAATTTGCTGAAATAGGTATAAAAAGAGCAAGAGATAAATTAGTAGAAAAAGGCCGTGACAAAGTATTAACTGATGAGGAATTAAAACTAGCAGAAACAGCTGTTGCTTATGGTTGTATTAAGTATGCTGATTTATGCCACAATAGAAGTCATGAATATGTATTTTCTTTTGATAAAATGTTGGAAGACAAAGGAAATACAGCTGTTTACTTATTGTACGCACTTACAAGAATAAGGTCTATTATTAATAATTTGGGTACTCATACTCAAGATTTAAATGAGCCTATTTCACTAGACCATGATAAAGAATGGAAATTAGCCAAGGTAATATATTTTGATACATTTTTTTTTTTACTGATAAATATATGTTATTATAAATTTATTCTTGTAGACCTTATTACGATTCTCGGAGGTACTGTCAAAAATTACTGAAGATTTTTGTCTCCATCATTTATGCGAGTATCTTTATGACGTGGCTACTACATTTAACGAGTTTTATGACAATTGTTATTGCATTGAAAAAAATCCTCAAACTGGTAATTTTTAATTTTTATTTTATGTACAAATTTTACCAATCATAAATTATGTTGGTTTTTATTTACATCATATTTAATATAAATTAAGTGACAAATAGACTTGCGAGTTCGAATCCCAATTCATAAATGTTTTTATTCTCTTAACTTTTGATACATTCCTATAATCAATTAACAATTAATATATTTATATTGTATTATCAAGGCATATTAAATTATTTAATAACCAATTTCAATCAATTATATGTGCACCCACACTGTCTATTAATGTTGTTCATATTTATTTGATAGATAATTTTTTTAAATTACTCAATGTATATTAAAAATTAAACTTGTAATAATTTTTAATTTATTGTAGTTTTATGTGAACAAATTGATGTAAAGTGAAAAAAATTGTTTAATTCTTAACACGGAAAAATGTCAAGTTGTATCTTTTACACACAGTAAACATAAATTACCATATTTCAAGGATAATTATTAATATTTGATTTTTAATAGAATAATTAAAAGTTATGATGCTTACTTTGATACCAACTAATATTTTATTTTAATTAAATTATAAAATTCATAAAATGTTATGAACAAATTACATAAAAATGTATTTTATAAAACAAGATTTCCTAGTTACATCTTAGATATTATATTTTGTTTAATAACACATTTAAATATTGAAAATAAATATTAATTATTAAATATCGATGACAAATAATGTTACCTTTTACATGTTTTAAATTTCCAATTGTTAATTTTCAATATGATGTTTAAGTTAGTTATATTTATAGTAAAGCATATTACTTAATAGCCTTTTTACTTTAATTTGTACTGCCAATTGTCTGTAGTATTATTTATATGTATTTTAAAAGATTTTCAGCCATGAATTATTATAAACATAAATAATTTATACGGTTGTAATAATGAATATGACATTAATACATGTAAATTTTAAATGTTAGTTTACTTAATTGCCTCTTATTCCCCACGATGTATTTGAAATATATAAATGTGAAAAGTTTATATAAAAACCTTATTGTTGACATAATTTTTTTTCCAGGCGAAATTGTCAAAGTGTATACTGGAAGAATATTGCTCTGTAAAATCACAGCTGAGTACATGAATACAGGGTTAACTCTATTGGGCATCAACACAGTATCTAGGATGTAGTTTATTTTTCTATACACAAACTAAATGCTATTTTATTTTAACATTATTTTGATTTATACTTAGCTTTATCTTTTTTAAAACAGTTAAAATAAATTCCATTTGAATATTTCTAATGTTATCTAAGTATTATTTAAAGGTATTGGTTATCCCTAGGCTTTTACAAAGTACATTATAACATTGTATGAATCCAAATTATGTACCAATAAAAATAATAATTCTTGTAAATTTTTAACTATTTAAAAAAAAAGTTTAAATTAACTAATGTCAATCCAATTAGTATTAAATCATTATTAAAAATAAATAAATAAATACTATTGCATTTAAAAAATATTTGTTGTGATGTTATTAACATTTATTACCTTGATCAGTTATTGAAGTAGTTATATTTTTGCTCTTAATATTTAATGCATGAACATTCCTTGAATTACATATTATTCATTAACTACATTTAATTAATTATACATTTTTATAATATATATTTTATACATTTCTAGCTAAATTGATAAAATAAAATTTAGGGTTTTTAATTTAAATAAACTTTTAATAGTTTAAAATCAATTACTTACTAGATTTGTACTGTACATTTTGAAGTAGCTTAAAAAAAATTTTAACTTGCATATTCTATTAACCTCAAGAGGACGCCGCACCCGCATGTGTTGTCTCCGTCTTACACACATCAGTTTCAATAGTGTTCTTTTATTTTTGATATTAAAGGGAATTGACCTATTATCAAATTTTTTAAGTAAGAACATTACCTATGTTCTCTCTTTGGTTTTTTACGATTTTTAATTTTTAAGTGCGTTATGAGTACAAAAAATATAAATATTTTAAAATGCTTATAACTCTAATATAAAAATTAAAAGCACACTGTAGAAGCTGGTAAATGAAAATATATTATGTCGTACGTGTGTAAGACGGAGACAACACATGCGGGTACGACAATAAATATACAATTTAATTGTTTTATCCTTTTGTAATTATTATTTATCAATAGTGGCTATCTTAGAGAATACAACAGATGCTCGCTAAAATACTCAGGTAACCAACAACATTGTCCTCAAATAATAAAACAATTTAAAAAGAAAATATATGTTTTAAACGTGTATATATATATATATATATATATATAATATTATGTATCATATGAAAAAAAAGTAATATATATTATTAGAATAAAAGTAATTTAACATTTATAATTTAAAATATTTTTATAAAATAATAATACATTATATAAATATAAAATTATAAATTGTTGGCCAAAACTATACTTTGTTCTTTAAAATTTTGTAATATATCTTTCTTATTTATCACAATGTCATGTTCACAGCTTGTGTTTAACACTGGAAAAATACTAGCTAACTGGCCATATTTTAAAATTTTATAAACAGATATCATGCTGTCTATATTAGTAGAATTAAAATGTTTTCTTTGTATCAAATTATAATACTTAGGTACTATAGAATATAATTTTATTATTAATATAATAATATAGTATTGTTACCAACCATTACCCATTACCCAGTACCCACCCACCCACCAAAATGAGGAAGGCGTGTTTGAGCACCTTTATATTGAATAGATAGCCACCACTATTATTTATTAAGATATTATATCATTTTATTGATCAATTATACTACCATAAAATATGTTTTATTAGATACTTCATTATTTATGAAACTTATTTATATTTCATATTTTTGAATTGGATGTGCAAAGTAAGGTAACAATATTAAACATTGTTACCTGGTTCAAAATTTGATACCAATCTTCTTTAGTGTAGAAGGAAATTGGATCACAAAATACTGCTGCAACTTTTTAAGCACATTTCCTTCAACTGATGTACTTGTCAAATACGCCAATAATTGAACACTTGTACAAGTAGCCAAGTACACTGTTCCCACAGTTGGCTGTTATAGCAAATACTAGTGGTGAGGGCCACATTTATTTTGGCTGTTCCTTTGACTTGTGTCACACTTACCGATAATCCTCGGTTACGGCACCAGCGACAAATAATTGTATAAGTATGCCGATCTAACAGCATGGCAAGTAACCTTCAGTACCAAATATTGGCCAAGTACACCAGTCGTTGGAATGCAGCTTTAGTCATATGATGATCCCATTAAAGGTATACACTCAGATCAAGTTTCATTATTTACATAACACTATTACAACATATTCTCTCTCCTAGATATACAAAAATCAAATTAGTACACATTTGATTGTTATAAATACAAAGCTTGTTACTTAATCAATATTTAAAAAAGCAAAACTTTTTTAAACACCTTTCACACTAATCTTGAGCGTATGAATGACGTATTGTAGGTGTATACTATTATTAAACCAAATTATTATTTTTACTGTTGGATTGTAAAATCAATTCAAAATAATGATAATAACATTTATTTTCACAAATAAAATAGTCACAACAAAAATTGAATTCACACATAATAAAAACAAAATATATCTACATCAATTGACGATTTTAAATCTATATTTTATGTGGTTAAAATATTAAATATAAATTATTAAATTATAATATTTATTATTTAATATAACTAATCAAAAGATTAAAGGGAATATAATATTCAAACAACCTATTTTTAAGAAACTATAGGCGTCACAGTATGATAACAATTGATAAGTAATCTACTACTAAATAATATAATCGTATTTTATTATTACAAATCAAATTTAGATTGACCTATTTATTTAAGAAGATAAAACAAGGTATACTTGTTTCAAAATATTGTGCATAGCTAAATCAATCTGAATCAGTAAGTTGTTTATATAAATATTAGCCTTAACAATATAAATATAATTAAAACTTTGATATAACATTAATCTCCTTAATTCAGGTAACAACATTTTGAACATTTAGTTTAATATTCTTAATTTTTGTTAAATTATCTACAATTATATCTAATGCACATTAAAAATTGATTAAGTATTTAATCAATTTCAAAAGAAAGTGCAACATAACACCTTAATATATTATTGAACAATATTACAAAACAACAGATTAAAAGACACAATACAATATGATTTATGTATATATAATCTATTTAATATAATACAGCATATATTTGTAATATATTTATAATTTATATATCTTTAAAGTAAATACTTAGATATAAAAATTTAATGCTGGTTTACACATTGCAAAATTGTAAAAAAAACTCTTCATAGATCAGGGCAAATAAAATTTTTTTTAAATAAACTATTTTGTTGTCTCTGTGTAAACACAGCTTAATAAAACATTTTTGTAAACAAAACACTTACTGTTAGATTAAACTATTTCACCTGTCACTATATCGCTTCTATCAACCAAACTATTTTAATTAATTTTTTAAGAGAACACTTATTTTATTTACAACACATAAATTTCAGGAAAACATTCTTAAAAGAATATAAAATTTAAAAAATGTTCCATCAAAAAGACTTAAAAATTAAAAATGTAATAAACAAAATCAACTTTTAACTAAGTATACTGACTATACTGTTATAAAATTTAAAAAAAGTATACATAAACATTATTTTTTTTTCAAATCTCATATGTAAATATGTCGAATGAGATAATGTTAATAGGATATTTTTATACAACACAAGAAATGTATGTGTGTACAAAAAGTAATTGGATGGCAAAAAATGATATTTAACACTCAGCTCAGTTGTTTGAACAATTAATAGCTCGAAATAAGAATATTTTAATATTTATTGATTTATTGTAAATTTTTGTTCTTGAAAGATATTCAAAAATGGTAAATATTTATGATAAATTTAAAATATGACAAAAATAGTTTGAACATCATTACTTTCAAACGATTGATACTTATTAGTTATTATTGTTATGTTTTGTACTTACCTGAAGAAATATTTCTATGATTAAAAATGGTAAATAAATAATTTGCATGCATAGAAAATTACTTACAACGATTTTGGACAACTCTGAACATCTAAATGTATTTGCAAAAAACGGTTTAAACAAGACTGCTTTTCCTCTTTTTGGATTGAATTTGTGTTACTGATAGCTTCTGAATTTTCCACTTGATGATCATTTGAGTTGGTCGATCCATGTTCATTTTCATGTTTTTGAATAAGTTCAATAAGCTCCACGTTAGTCAATATCTTTGAATGTATATTTCCTGAGAGTAAGTTAATTACATACTGGTAAGTAGACGTCTTTGATGATTTAACTTCTGGTAAATAATGTAGATCCTTAATGTTGTCTGCCAACAACGATATAGAACTCAAAGAATCGGAAGATAATAATAGTATATCTCGAACTTGCGGTGGTAATTTTTGTAACCACAAACGTTTTAAGTTATGTTCTAATAATTTATCAGCCGTTAATTGTTTCATTTCTTTTAAAAGAAATGATGGATATTTATCTTCCAATTTTAAATCGCTTACAAGTTCTAAAAGTCTTTCTTGTTCAGATATTTTTTTGAGCAAATGACTTCTAAAATACATATACTTGTTTACCATACTCATGTTTTGAAATACGTCTAGAATACAACATAGAATATCATGCTTGTTCAATTCTTTTAAGAGATCGTAGTACATTGTTAAATCTTCAATTAAATCCGCAGCCGACATTTTTGATTCAAATTGATTAAACCACCCTTTTGGATTTTTCACATAAAAGAGTGGTTGATTCGGTCGAATAATATGATTCTTTACAAATAATGCTACATCGATCGGTGTTTTTATCGACTCGGTCAACATTATTCTTGGTTTCATTGATGAAATTTTTAGCTCAGCTGGAGTAATTTTTGACCTAGTCTGTGTAATTTTTGATTCGGTAAGGGTAGTTGCTTGCTTAACCGATATAATTATTGATTCAGTCGGTGTAATCGTAGACTTGGTATATGTAATTGTTGGTTTTTTTTGATGTTATCACTGCCTCAGCCACTGTAATTGTTGGTGTCATTGTTGGTGTCATAGATAGATCAGTCGGTCTAATTACTAGCTCTGTTAATGTAATTTGTTTTTCATTATCGTGGTCCATCACTAAAGTTAGTTATAAAACGTGAAGTCAGGAAAAAAATCACTTCAAAATTGTGAAAATATTATCAAATTCAATTTGAGTTTAACTAGAATCGCGTATTAACAAATCTAAGAACATAACATCGAGAGTTAAAACGCACAAATACGCGGTGAACGAGAAACTGCGCTTGTGCAAACAGCTTATTCAACCCCACAATTACTCCCCTCTACCATCGCGCCCTTGCAATCAATATTTACAAGTATTGAGCCAGAAACACTTTCGCGCTACTTACATATATATAGTATATAATATAGCTTACAAGGTCATAAATAATAAATTCCAACTAATAAATGTGGAGTTAACGTCGTGTATGAATAACACTAAATTAAAAATAAGCATTATGAATTCTTATAACTAATATAAGATAGTATTGTAATTATGATGAAAAGTTTTGCTTATATTAAATATTTTAGTCCGCCTCTTCGAAGTTCGAAGTTTATTGAATATTTCAAATGTAAATCCCAATTTTCAATCAACTTACTTAATACTTTTAACTGACTTGTCAGTCTGATTTTTTTTATGCCAGCGACACTTCACTCCTTTATTTAATCACGTAATTTCCTCCTCTGAGTGGTCTTACCAGAGTGAGTTCCCTGGAGCCAGACACCCCCAGCTTCCCACCTAGTGCGCCAGTTCTGCTTAGACACGCTTACGAGCCATCGCCGTAACCGGAGTGCGATGATTTCCCGTTCGAGCCAGTTCCCTTCTAGCTAAGGCGCTACTCCCACAACCACCATGAGTCCTTCCTCAAGTACGACGCCCGTGTCACGGACGAGCGCGGGCCCTCTATGAACACCCGCGATCGCGCGTCACGCGGCCATCGCCCTCAGAGCGCCGGGCTGCTATTAGTAAGTCTACCCGACGGGGCTATTTCCAATCCCTGTGGTACGAGATTTGGACCGGCGTCCTGACCCTCGCAACTGTCATTCCGTAAGCGTCCCTGGCAACGCATGTGTTTACTACAGTGGTTCCCTTTGTGTGTACAATTTGTTTTACAAATTGGCGTTTCTGTTTTTTTTAATGTTTAATGCATTGACTTATACTCGATATAAGATTATAAAATTACCCATACTATGTTATAATCTCAGATATAGTATACAATTTAGAGCTAAAAGGGCATAGTTATAAGCCCCTCATTTAATGTTAATTCAATAAATTATATATCCCTCTCCAGAACTACGCGACTGATATCAATAATCAAGTCGCTTGTTTTAAGTGTCTCTATATAAAGTACATAAGCAATATTATGTTCCTATCTATTATTCCTTTTAAATCATTGCATAGTTATTAATCAATAATAAAAGCTATACTTAACTTTAACTTAAGTCGAAATATGCCATATTTTTACTAACTAAATTTTCTGGTATATCTAAATCGCTTACGTTATCTTCTTCGTCGGTTAATATTTTTGAAATATAACTAACAATTATAAGTGGTCATTGAACGCGTTACACATAGTGCTATGTATTTCATTTACGTATTTATAAATTAGATGTTATTGAAAAAATGTATTGACGTATTGTGTATTTGTGTGATACCATTTTTAGACCAGATTCACTATAAAAATATAAATATTAAAAATGTTAGCCTAAGCATGAATACGAAAAAACTTTGAAACTATGTTTTTAAAAGCACTAACCAGTTAATGTGTATGTATACATTCATTAACTTCACAACCTTAGTAATGAGTATAAGCCAGTTATCTAATAGACTGTATAATATCCCGATTTCGTCAAGAAAAAAATAAACAAACATCAAATACGACACTATTGCAAGTAATTGACATCTATATATTACCTCTTTTTTAATGTACCCCAGTTCATGGATAAATCATCATTGATGTACTTAACTTTTAAATCGATTCCATCAAAAGAAATAATCCGCCAGAGGCTAATTATATAATATAACTTTTGGTATATTTTTGAACATGGATCGAACAACTCTCTAAACTCTTCTAATATCTCTAAAAACTATCACTGAAATTCTCATCAAAATCGATAAATCATTTTTCAAATCTGACATTGCAATTTCCGTACCAACATATTTGAATAATAAATCATAGATACATATTATTTTCTTTGGTTAAAAAAAAATCCCATAGCAATGTTTAGCTGATTTATACAATTTTATATTCTAAGTAGCGTGAAAATAATGTATTAATTATATAATTATGTATGTTTTTTTATGTCTGAATACACAATAAGTAGTCGATAAAAATACGAAGATTTTCAATAATAATGGTAGATTTGGATATCAAATTGTATCTAGTTTGTACTTTTAAGTTATCAAAATTAAAATTCACAGTATTTTACAAAATAATTGAGAAAAATAAACAAAAATTTAAAAAAAAAAACGGGATTTTTGGATTTTTTAAATTTTTTTTTTATAAATGCCAATAAAAAAAATATTCAATGGATTAAAATTGTTAAGAATTTAATACAAGTTCTCAATTTGTTCTTATATCTGTATAAAATTATCAATAAAACATAACCACATTTTTTTTTCTTTCAATGGATTTGAAGTTCAAATTTTTATCAAATTGGTCAAAATTAATAAAATTACAAATTTAAAGTATTTTAAAAGAAACAATTTTCAGAATCTTTTAAAGCAAAAGTTTAAAAATGTAATCAATCATCAAGTATTATTTATTAGAATAGTTACTAGTTCACTGCCTATTTTTAAATAAATATACGTTTGTATGGGCTTTATAAAATTAGAAACTATTGAACTAATTAGCATCAAATTTTAAACACATAATTCTCAAGTCTTAAGGAGTGTTCAAAGATTGGTTTTTTAATCTCAATGCAAATATTGCTCCAAAGGGTAATTCACATATTAATTAACTCATGAAAATTGAATTATTTTTGTTTATTTAATGGATTGTTATTAGTACCAAAATAAAAGAGACTAAAAAATAATCTATCGATATCTACATATCTTTACTAAATCTATCACCTATATTCATACTAATATTTAAAAATCTTTGTATATTTATTTAATCAGATTTAATTTAAAAACTTCAGGATTGATTTTGACAATTTTTTTAATTATTTTATGTATTTTTAAGAAACTAATCATTATAATGCTGATGGTTTATAAGGCTAATGCGGAACAAATAATTTATATTAAATGTAGAGTAACAAATAATGTATTATGATAGTTATAAGTAGAATTTAAAATCATAAAGGGAACATTTTTTACGCTGTAGACGTACCTGGAGTCCTAGAAATACTATATAACTATAGCAAAACGTTTGTCACACCATTAGTTTTAACAAATATTCAATATAAAAAAAAAAGTTGTTATTGAATTGTAAAACTTTTGGGTGACAAAACCCTTAATGCAGCCAATCATAGAGCAGTACATTGTGTAAGATTTGTTAGTGAATTGAAGTACACTACTACACTATAACCGAGATATAGAAACTTATAACGCCATATTTTAAATGTGTTTATTTTAATTTTTTTTATCAGGTCAGGTTCCTTGCATAGCAGTATGTTAATACACCATATTATGAAAAATGATTGTTGATTGTCGTTATCATTAAATAGGCAATGATAATATTTTAGGTATAAATGTATGATACACTTATCGAAAATGGTAAAGCTTTATTTTTACGGCATTAGATAATGGATTTGGTAAATTAAGTCCTATATTATTATTTTTAAGTAAACTGAGTCCCGCCAAAAAAAAAAAATTAATAGGTAGATTGAGTCCCTTGTATAAAAGATGAAAGAGGTTAACTGAATCCTTTACAATATATTTACTCTAGTAAATTAATAATGCTTATAATAATTTATTACCTATCTATTTTCTAAATTACTAATAATAATATTAGGTAATCAATGTCAACTTTTGAATGAATAATACATAATATAATAATTTATAATAATTTATATTGTCAATAAAAATAATAATAATAATCAATAGGTACTCTTGATATTAATCAGGTAAATATTTTACTGATACGAGCTTAATGAAGTCAAGTCTACAAATTTCATTATTTGTTCTCTTAATATATTCTCCTTTTCTATATTGTGTTTTGATTTTTTTGTATAGCTCTTTACTTCTTATTTGAATATATATATTAGATTAGATTTCTTTGAGTGCATCAATAAAAATATAAATATTTGGATGTGAAGTATAAAATAAACTATTCAACTACGCGTGAAATAATTCACAACAATTTGTTATACGATTAAATATTGTTGAAAATTCAGCTCAGATTAGACGGGAATGTAGAATCTGGTACAACGTATGTTTTTAAATATAATCGGTGAATAATTTTATATATTCATTTGCAGGAAGCTTTAGCATAATATCTTCAATGAAACATTCGTAAACATCAAAACATCAAAAAATGGTTTAAACAAAAAAAAAAAAAAAATTTAAAAAAACTATTTTCCTCCGAATTTTAGTTTTTATAATTTGTACTTAAGCCAAGGCATTGTATTTTTTCCATCTACTTTGTCCAAGGTGAACAAAATTAATATGACAAATTTAATATTAATTGCTGGCCAAACTTGTTGCGCGGCATTATGTATAGATTTTTCAAAGTCATTAAAAATATATTTTAGTGAAAATGTTAAACCAACAATAATTGTACACTGGTCCATCGTATATTTAAAAGAATAAAAATAAGATTTGGTTTCTTTATTTGGCAATTAAAAAAAACTAATGGGACATATATTTTATTCACAAGTGCGTGAATCGTAAAGATTTGTAAAAAATGTTTGGGACAACTTTTAAAAATACCGTCAACGTATATTTGTATCGCATAAAATCATTAAGTTGGACATTGTTGAAAATCCGATAATATTATTATCGTGGTCATTAACCATTAGAAAGGATTCGTCCGTATTCGTTTTAATTATTATTTTATTAATAACTTCATGCGTTTCAATTATAGTTTTTGATAAATTAGGGTGGACAGTTGATCGAATATTTCGTATATTTCTTTTAATTGAAGTTGTATCTAACAAATTTAATGTATTTACGTTTTCTCTTTTTAATTCGGAATGTAAAAGTTTAGATGGCTTACTTGAAATATCTTCGAAAGTTTTTCGTTTGAGACTATTGCTAATTTTTTGTCAGTTCAAAGTTTTTTCATCTGGTTTATTGTGTCTGTGATCTCTAAAACTATCAATAACTGTGTTGGAATCATTGATTTTTAAATAGCACTTACATGTACTTAAGGATAGTCTACCGCTGGACTTCATTCTTTAACATTTTATGAAACCGAAATTTGTAACCATTATAAATAAAAATTGTTTTATTCCGTTCAGTTTTCATTACGTCCATTATAATGTTGATATTTGATGTTCTTATATGCTCGCAATAACTAATGGTGCATGACTGTACGTATAGATAATTTTATTTTGAAAACTAGTCTAATAATATACGAGGGACTAAATTCACCGCTTTTGAAAATCAGTAATTTAGCTTGGAACTCAAAACCTAAGCCCTTAAATAAGTCATAAGTAAAATATATATTTATACTCTATCAATTTTTAATATTTTGTTATAATTTAAAAATAAATAACTATTGATACTTGAAATATTCAACAAATATTTATATTAACATACATGATAAAATTTTTCAACACTTTTTGAGCTACCTACCTATATAATAGATACTTGATATTAAAAAAAAAAATGTTATTAGTTGTTCTATTAACATAATCAAATATATATACAATATTTTGAATGTATCGAAATTCAAAAAATTGTGAAAATTGCAAATATTAATTTGTATAGTCAAAAATTTCTAAAATTTTTAATATTCATACTTAAGATTTAAAAATGTAATAAATGGTTCCTTGCGAGTTGTTATGACTAAATTTAAAAAATAATTGAACGTAATTCCACAAATATTGAACATTTGAAACTTAAATTTTAATAAACTAATATATTATTTATTTTATTATCAGTGGCGTGCAAGCAGTATGGCGAACTGTGTTTACATCAGAGGCACAAAATTGTGCTTTAACAATGGCAATATTGTACCTTCATAACAAAATTTGTCAACGATGGCCAGCTTTATAGCAAGAAAAGCAAATTTTTAAAGTTTGAAATTTACACTGTAATAATAACTAATAAAAATAAATTGTACTCTTAAAATAAATTAGGAAAATTAAAGGTTAAAAAAATATTAACACATTTTTAGTTGATAAAAAGGCACTTTTTTCTACGTTTGCCTATGGCGCTAGTGAGTTTTTCTACGTCACAATTTGTTGTAATTAAAAAAAAAGTATAATAAAAAAGTAGCGGCTTAAAATTTTAATGTGTTTAAAATATTTTAACTCTTTTTAAGAAATTTATAAACATTTGACATTTTTGTTTTCTGTTATTATCGATTAAAAGTTCTTTACTGGGTTAAACATTTGAAAAATTAATAGAAAATTCATTATTAGTTTTTACTATAGACAGTATAGACATTAAAAAGTATTAATTAAACACATACTTGTTTTTTTTTTTTAATTAATATTAGAAGTTCAAATTTTAAGAAAATTAGTCAACATTTCAAATTATTTCATAGTAAAAATTGATGAAATGATAATTTTATAGCTAATATAAAGACTGAAATATAATACAGTGCTTCTCGAAAGTAGTTCATATTGGAAACAAAAATAAAAAATAAATTTAAATTTAATTATTTTTTTTAAACATTTTAAGTTCAATTTTGGACGAAATTCCGTGTTTAAACAAAAAATAGTTATTTTGTTGTAATTCATAAATAATTTTCGTTATAATTTTAAACTTTAATGTATATTAGTTAAGTTTATATAAACATAATAACTAATAACATTTTCAAAACACTTAGAATAATTTTATGTTAATCTCTGTGTATAGTTTATACCGTATATGTTATCTACTAATAGAGTATAAATTGAATGAATTTATAATTAGACGACATTAAGTATTTCTCGTACAATATTTTTTAACTGATAGGTAATCATAATCCTCTATAAATTTTTCCATAAATCTCAAATTTTCATATACTCTTTCATGAAAATTTTATATTTATTATTTTATTTATTAAATATCTTATACTAAACGAGTTCTACGATATCGTACAATTATTTTAATCTACATGTACACTCACACTCACTGTATCCTTAAACAAAAAAATCTATTTTTGCATAAAAATGTTTGACATTCTTTTATTTAATATATCGCAAATATTTCCAATTATTTTTTTCTTAATCTCGTTTTCTTCTATTTTTAAAAACTTCTTTTCAATCACGCAGTCTCAAATTGTTTCGTTTTTAATTTTAGTGCCTACACTTTTATACATTAGGTAATAGGTAAATCATGTGTTTTGTAAAAAACGTAGATACACTCATACCTTTATTTTGAATGATACTATGTTGATAAATAATACAAATAAATCATTGTCAAAAGTCAAAACATTCATATAAATAATTAAGAAATAATAATATAATAATAAAAAATAACCACAGTTAGGTTATAATCCATACGACTTGTGAACACAAACAGACTAATTTCATTTTTATTGTAACAATCCTAATTTCAATAAAATTGTAAAATAGTATACCTGCGTAAAGTATATGTAATGTATAGTTATTGGTAGATACTCATCATTGTTTTTCGTAAGCTATGATTTATCGTTGAATTCAAATTTATATGTGTAATACATACACATTAGGTACAGACTACAGTAAGTAGTGACTTAGGACTTAGTGTTCAATGACAAGGTACACTAAACTTCTAATGTTTAGGAGAGTGGTTGCCTACTTTCCCCTTTTCTTTTATTGCATTTGGTTCTTAGTGGTTAGTGGTATTTAATGGCGCCGAGTCATATAAATTTAAGTGAAGCAAAATCAAAATATTTTATTAAATGAATTAGGAAATAAAATGTTGTCTACCTCTAATAACTAAGAACTTAAATTATTTATTAATTATTTAATTATTTAGTATAGATATTATATAATGTAAAAATAAAAACACATATACAAATAAAACTACCTATCCTCTCTGATAGGTATATGAAGCGATCACTTCAGTTCATGTTTAGGTTCGGCGCCACTGGTGGTATTACACTATTAGGTACCTACATATTTTTGATTATTATAAACTGCAGTGACTAATGACTTGGAAATAGGTATATATTATACACTCGACACCTATATATTGCACTTAAAGAAAGACGATTTTGTCGAGACTAGATTTTTTAATATGCAATTAATAATATTCAAAGTTGGTACTTACAGTTCGAAATATTGACAGTTTTTTTATTTCTAAAATATCTATAAGTATACCTTTTCAATTATAACTACAAATTAAAATTTAATCGATATTAAATGAGGACCGTAGTTTGTGTATAAATTCTATTTTATTGTTCGCCGAAAAGTCTTGTTGTTCGAGATTCATTATTCTATAGTTTTTAATCCAACCATAATTTTACATAATGATATTTAAAACGCAAGCTAACAAAAAAAAAAGTATGCACAGTCAATTACTAACATGTAAATTAAAAATAATGTTATTTTTTTACTTTTTAAGTGATTTAAATCGTGAACATTTTTATCAGATTTCAAAAAACTATTTGTGTATTAAATATAAACATTTACACAGTGACAGTACGTAGGTACCATAGACCTTATACTTAGTAATATGTCTATGGTAGGTACCTACCTATATCTATGTATAGGTAGGCATTATATTCCGATATCTGTTTCCTAAAGGCTACACGCCTACTACAGTTATAACTTATAACTATAACTAAATTTATTTATAAACTATTTAATTATTGTACATCAAAATGCGCGAAAAATGTTCTGCTCCTTCAGAATATGAAATCAATAATGTGTGCTGAAAAAAAACAATTCAATTTACCTAATCTGTGTTTCGACAAACACCGTAGTGCGAATTAGGATAAGGAATACTGTAGCTGCAATAGACCAGCGGGTGGCGACAGTGTGTCGAAAATACGGGTTGACACCAAGTATGTGATAACAGTAATGATTTTCGTTTTTCATTATCATAGTATCACACATTCACATACGACGTCGTTTTAGCGTCTGTAGTTCGTATGAACTACGAAAGATTATCATTATTCTTAACTTCTTAAAAGCGTTAATATGACGCGTGAACTAAACTGATAACTCATCGACTTGGCTCAAACGCCTCAAACGTGTCCCACAGCAGTTCATCGCGTTTGGCGTTTCGTCGAGACGTCGGTCCGACTATACGATCATGCATCTCTCTAGTGTCGACCTATCGTGCTCCGGAGTAGTCTGTTAGGCGCGCGTTTGTCATCCTTCGTAACGATCGGCAGGATCGATTTGTGAGAGTGCTTTTGAGTGTACTCCGCAAGTGTCGGTACATGATATTAATTCGACCTGACAATGGCGTTGAATCCGACGTCTGCCAACGATCACACAGTCAACAAAGTGGCTGTGTGTTCGGCGATTTTTGCCGGTTTTGCGTACGTCGGGTATTCGGTTGCTAAGAACGCGTTCGGACGACGTTTGGGCAGGAAGAACGACGATGGTGAGTTGATGTCTAATCATATTATCCAGAACTAATCTCTTAATGATTGAGACTGTCTTACTACTCCTCTTAATTTATCTGTTAATTTTTCTTTAATAACCCACTAATATTTCCTTTTAGGGTACCATCATGAGGACCAACGCTTGTATTTTCGCCGTTTGTCCCAGACAACTCAGACAGACGTCCTACTTGGAAACTTGGACAACTCAGATACCAGCCGTGTGTTCCTTCGACCTATGACCGTCCAGCAAAGAATTAAAGAGCTTAATTTACGGGCAAGAATGTTTGCTGACACGATGATGGCTATACAGACACCTTCAGGCAAACATTCCTTACATGGTCCTAGGAGTTTACAGGTTTATATTTATTTATAGATAATAATTGTTAAAATGCCATGATCAATTTTTATAATGCTAGTACCTATGTTTAGATATAATAGATATGTTGATAAAGTTAAAAGTACTTTCCTATTATATGAGACTATGGCTATTATTGCAATTACCATCCAAGATTACCTCCATTATCGTGACTAGCATAATATTAACATGTCCAAATGCCAGATTCTAGTACTCAAATTTATAATTATTAACTTATTATTAGGACCCAGAACTTGATGACCTATAAATTATTTAAAATATTACCCTAAAAATACCAAAAAATAGCATAACATTTTCAAAAATTAGATTTCTTAATCATTAATTTATTATTTTATTCATCTGAATTTTAACGTAACATTTTATACAGTAAATATGTTTTATTCTTACAGACTACAGGGTTTATATTAAATATAAAATGGAAATAAGAAATAATGTCAATAATACAAAATAATTATAAAAAAGAAATCAATATTTTTAGAAAAATAATTAAACAATGGGCTGTACAATATGTTAGTTTTTCAAATATTTAGTTTTGTCAAAATAATGTAAAAAATGCAAATATATATACATAAATGCAAAAAATGCATCTAAAACAGTAAAAAATGACCGTATAACCAAAAAATACCAAATAAAAATGGTTCCATTGAATTTTACATAAGTCCCATTTCTGTAAAGATATTGGAAAAAAAGATGAAAATCCCTCAAATTCTAGGATCTACTTATTATGTTATTAATATTTCCTGTACATTTCATTAATTCACTGGTTAAAAGTAGTTTTGCTCAATTCACTCTGATTTTGATGTACTAATTAATAATTACAGTTCAAAACTTAAAATCTAATTATTTTATTCTGTAATTAATTTTGATTTATTAAATATTATTAGTCTTTACCTTTGACCAAAGAAGAAGCAATAGAGTTGCTTATTATTTATTAACTATACCATAATTCCATTTACTATTACTACAAAAATTAACTTTTTAACATTTATATTAACATATTTAAAAGTTTTAAATATTATGCGCATATTAAAAGATTATACAAATAACTAAGTATAATTTGTTAAGAACAAAAGGTAGTCTGTGATTTTAAGAAAGTGGCAGATTTTGATAGTCTTAGAAAATTAGATAGTGATATTTCACAATATAAAATAGTCTCATTTAACAGTAAAGTACCAAGTTAAAATATTTTATTTTAATTTCTCGTCTTTCGTTGTCTTAAGTTTAATGAAATTCTTAGATTAGTAAAATAATATGAACAATCATAATATTTTTTAGTATGATTTTTATATCAAAAAAGTTTGCATTGATTTGTGTTTTACAATATTTGTTATTTTATTGATAACTTAATTATTTTTATATTTATTTTAATTATATTATAAGTTATTTTCTATAGATACATATTTTTAATACTGAATCAATATGTAGACATGTGTAAAATATTTTTAAAAAGTATTTAGAATAAATTCTTGAAACATATAATTAAATTCTTTTAAATAATATTTTTTTTTTTTTTATATTCCGGGTTAACATTAGCTAGAGTAGAAGTTCCCAAACTATGAGTCGCTATCATATTTTTTGTGGGTCATGTTATATTTTTAAATAATACATTTTTTTAGACATATGGTTACTTTTTCTCAAATAATTTAAAAAAAAGAGAGGTCATTGATTCAATATTATTGTGGATCCCCAAAATAGGTTGTGCCAATGGTGTAAACTAAAGGTTACACGAGGTTCCACTTTCGACCCCTGAAAATATCATAGGAGTCATAAGAGTATCTTTTTACAACCACAAAAAAATCATGATTTCAAATTTCAAAAAATTGAAATATCAATATAATAATTAATTAATTAATATCTTGTCAAGATATCAAAGTCGAAATTATCTATTTTTACTTTGAATTTATATAATTGTTTAATTCACATATTTAGTATGCATTAGGTTTAAAGTAGCCTTAAAATATATAACTTATTTATATTATATAATTGAGCAAATTAAATTTATTTTCATATATAATATATAATTTTTTTTTATTTCGGTACTAATTGGTGTGTTAATTTTTCCACAGTAAAAAACTAATAAACATTTTAAATATGTTCCTATTTAATATATAATCTATTACTTATAAAAATAAACATTACATATTAAAAAAATCTAAATAGCAGTTGTCATTTAAAATATAAATTAAATAAAGTAAAAAAAAAATTTTGTATCTTATGTATTCATATATTGTTTAAGAAAATTATACATATTTTATTGACGGTAAGTAATTATATAGGTACCCTATTTATAAAGTACCTATATTTATAATATTAAATACCTACCAATTACCAATAGATACAATATACGTTTAAAGTTAAAATAGTTTTGTTGAGATTGTTTACTTATAATGTTAAATTTGAAATAAAATAAAACTGTATAGGGGGATGTGGAGTAAACCTCTCACCATAAGTCTGTTCAACCTAGAAACTAATTGTAACCCTAACAATTAAGCCTAATTTATGCCTCTGGGTCGTGCCATAAATAAAAAGATTAAGAACTTATGAGTTAGAGCATTGATTATTGCATAACTTGAATACTATTTATTACGAGTCTATATACATATTTATGAAAGAATTCCATAAAAACTATACTTGACACATGGTCATGAATATATCAAAAAGTATTTAAAATTCAGTATTATTTAAGTAATTTATTTTAAATATTACTCATGCCTATTTATAGTATTTATTATAAAAATTTAATAATTTACTGATTCAGTACAATTTTGTGTATTTTACTAAAAATAAATTTATCAATGTATTGTAAAAGCTATACATAATTTTTTTTTTATATTTAGGCGTCACCATGGAATTCACCTAAAATAATGAGTCCTGTGGATGTTAGACATATACTAGGGAGTCGGTCCACAGAAAATTTAAGATTGTGTGATAACTATGCTTTGGAATCAAATTTTGGTACACCGTTAAGAAGAAAAAGTTCCAACAGATCATTAAGAAGAAAATCTCCGCAACCAGGCGAACACAAACTTTCTATAAGTCAGTCTAATCAAGATATGGAAGAATTTGAAAAGATCAACCAACCATCTTTGTTGAATAGGTAACTTTTTTTATTAGTGTACCATTTATTTAATAACAATTTAATTAATAACTAATATCTTATTTTAAAAATTCTAATTTTTTAAGACCTATGGAACCGAATGAAGCTAAGAGTTTATTATTATTGATGGGATCCAGAGATATTCTAGTACTTGAAAAAGTACTTGTAACTGTTAGTAATTTAGCAACATTTACTCCAAACCAAGTATGAATATAATATTTTATTTTAATATAATATTTCCTTATTATAATATAATTAATTGTATTTCTTTACTTGATACTTCTAAATGTAGTAGTAAATATACATGATTATACTTTAACTATTAGTGTACTTTGATGGTAATTTTTAATTTTTTTTTTTTAAATACCTAAACTTGATGTATATGTGTACTTGAAATTTAAAATAATTCAAAAACAGATCTTTTTTACAAGTATATGTCTGAGTGAAATATGCTTAATTTAAATTCAAAATATATAGTTGCAGCTCACAAAGCTTTAAAATGTTCACTAGAATTATTTAAATAATATAATCAAATAACAATATATTTATATAAAATAAAGTAAGCGATGAATATAAATCATACATTGTTTTTGTAATTAAACTTTATTATTATAGGCTAAAATAATTTTGAAGGACAAAATAATTTAACTTCTTATTTAACTAAGAAAATTCATGAGCAATTAAAATTAATTGTTCAGATTACTGCAACTTTTTCAATAGCGTTCTACTATTAGCTTACCATATGTAAGCTAATACATTTAATGTATTAAATAATACAGTTTGCTGTATTATACAACAATAATTTATAATTTTTAATTACTAATAACATCATTTTTAATATTATAAACATGCATATTGTATAATATGAATTAGGAATAAGATACATTATAATTCTCCAATCCTTGATTCTTCAAACTTGTAAGAGAATAAAAAAATAATCTAAATAATTATATTAAATCTGATAAATTTAAAAAAAAAAAAAAATTGAAATATAATGTATATATAATTGTATTATCAGCATTCAGAGGCATTTTTGTTGTAAAACACAAATATATATTATTAAAATTTACTTGTGTAGTAAACAGAAAGTATTAACTATCTCAATATAGTATTATAAAAAAAGATCATTTGTATTACATAATAAAATTGTAACAAAATTCAAAATTGATTAGAAAAAAAAATTAATTGTCCCTTAAATTATATATTTATTATTTTTATTTCAAGGAAGTAATGAGGGAAGCTGGATACTTGAGCCAACTTCAACAGTTGATTTATCATCCTGAAGAATCTGTTCAAATAACTGCTCTTGTAGCACTAGGAAATTTGGCTTTAAACAAAAATAATTCAAAAGAAATGAAGGTTTGATAAAAAAATTAAATTTTAAAAATATATTATCTGATTTTTAATATTAAAAAAACCTCTTAACTTAAATGTACTTTTTATATTGATGTATATTTTTTTATATTATTGATTTTCCCAAATAATTAGTTAATTTGATTTATAGGAGACAATACCAATGTTATTAGCCCTAATGAAAATGATGGATTCGGATGAGATTATTTACAATTGTTTATCTACTTTGACCAACATTGCAGTATTCCATATGTGGCACAGTGAATTGCAACCGGCTATACATACTTTATATGGTTTATTAGAAAGTCAAAATAACAAAGTTGTTCTTCAATGCTTAAAACTATTAATAAATTTATCTTGTAATGATGATATGATTCCTCATCTTTTAGGAGGACAGGTATGTTATTTATTTTTGATAATTTACTTGTATTGTTAATTTTAAATTATAAAAATGTCTTGTTAAATTAATTTGTTATATTCAATCATCTTATAATATTAAAAATAACAATTATATACATTGTATTAATAAAACTTGTTTCTATTATATTAGGCTCCCAAAAAACTATTATCCATGTTGCACTTGAATGAAAATGAGGATATTCTACTTAGAGTTGTAACATTGTTTAGCAATCTTACTGATGCTGTAAAAGCAATGGAATTGGATCCTGTATTAGATTTGCCTGTAGAAGATAAAGCTGCAGCTCCTGATACTATGTAAGTGTAAAAATTGATTTAAGTCTTAATCATACTCATAAAATGTCTTTATTATTTAAATATGTTTTTATTATCAATTATAATTTCTTTATTTAATATTTTTTTTTTTTATTCGAAGTGAGAATATATTTATTTTACAACTAACAAATGTGTGTTTTTTGTGTTTGAATACACAATAAGTAGTTAATTAAATACTTTGATTATCAACTTTGAGGGTGGTAATCTACTATAGTAGTCGTTTGGATTTACCATAAGCCTATATATTTGACAACATTGCTTAAAAGTAAAAATATTATAACGCGCGCAATGATACGTTTAAAAGAGTACCACCTTCGCTCCCTTTTTTTAATTAAATTTTGCTATTTGAATAAAATAAATAGGTCATCGTGTTTAAAATATTCACTTATATCAAACTGTGCATTTTTATTCAAAATTAAATCCTGTATATAATATACATTTGTAGTAAAATGAAACATTGAGAAGCCTAACCCAAATCAAACTATATAATCTCAGTAAAAATATGTAAAAACTTAAATATGTTGTCTCTAATTATAATAGATATTTCATCATATTTTTTTGTCTCCGCCATACAAGTGTATGACATGACAAATCTATGTTGAGTAATTCACTTTTATCTGATTCACTTTAATATTAGAGTAAATAAACATATAATAAAACTTAATAATAAAAATGTTATCTATATTCATCTGTAAGTTTTTTAATGATTGTTCAATTTTTTATCAAGTTTTACATTTATAAAATAATGCAGCTTAAAAATGTTCATAACTTGCTGAAAATTGATCTCTTTTTAAAAACCCTACAAACTAAACTTAAAATAAATAATCTGGCTATTTTTTATTTAAATAATAAATTTCACCAAAAATTATATTTATGATATCTGTAAAAATAATTTTGATCATACAATTTTTAAATTTTTGAGTTCCAATAAGATCTACTTATTATAGTTTTAGTTTTTTGACCAAGCATAAATTTAAAATAAAAATTTATAAAAAAAATAACAACAAAACATTTCAATTATAACTCTTTAAATAATTCAAATATTAAAATTGCATCATGTACTAAAAATAACAATTAAAGCAATAATAAAATTTTTCAATTTGCTTTAAGTAATGTTTTTTTTTAATTGAAACAAAAAAACGAAAATCAATTAAAGAGATATTATAATTTTATTTGTGAATATTCAGTTTTGTTAAACTCTAATTATAAAAAAAATGTGTATCTTTATGGTAAACATCTTTTTAAATTCCAAAATATCCTTTACTTATCTAATATTTTACTACATTTTAAAGCCTTAAATTTTACCATATATTTTACACTATTTATAATTTTGACAAATTTTGTAAAAAAATAAAAAAAAATATTTCAATTTTTAACACTTTTAAAAAAATTTAGACAAAACATATTTAATAAAAAAAAATACATACAAAATAAAACTCATTGTAATGGTTATTATTAAAACAAAAAACCACTCATCGTTGTAAAACTAATACATTCATAGTCTAAGATGTCTAAGTATATGCAATTTATTTATAAATATATATATTAATATATAAACTTATTTCTAATTTAATACAATTCATTTTTTAACAAATAATAAATGTAAATGATTTATATATCGGTTTGTTTAGCAGGTATGCCAACATTTATGGTGTTAATGTAGTAGAGAAAATACGCACAAAAAGTTTAGTATTGATGAAACAGCATAAAAATGAAGAAATCAGAGTTCGCGCACAAAAAATCTACAACGCTCTATCTGACTAAATTTATGTTGTAAACAAAATTATTTTTACTAAGCTAACAACATAACATTCCGATAGTATTTGAGTTTTTATTTACTATTTAAAAAAAACTTACCAACGAATACCTTGTTAAAAAGTAAGTTTTATTACTATTTACTGGGCTTATAAAATTATAAATATTATATATTATTGATACAAATTAACATTCTGTTTGAAATATTTTAGTTAGTAACATAATCTACTATAGAGTTGTTTTTATCACTTTTTATTATTATCACTGTTGTTTATAGCAATAATTGTGTGGTTTGCTACTTTATTAGGAATTGAGTTCCTAGAAATAAATAAATTGTACTTTTTATATAGTGCCATACATAGTTTAATTAGAATTTACTTTAGCAAACATCATTTATGAACATTTTTATTAATGTTTTGTTACCATTTGACTATTTAGTGAGTAAAAACATATGCATAATTTAATCCAACAAATCTCAAGTATTATAATTTATAAATATTCAACATACCTAACATTTTGCTTTAATAGCATTATTTTCCATCAGAATTTCTATTTATTAATTTTTTTTTTTTTAGAATATATTGTATTAAATCAAAAATATTTCTGTTAGCATGACTTGATTTATAGATATTAAAAATTATTAAATAACTTTTAAGTTTGCTTGTAAAGACTAATTTAAAACTATGATTTACCAATTTTGTTATAATATTTAATATAATATATGCTATTTTTAATTGAATATACTATAACAGAACTTTATTTTAGAAAATGCATTTTTAATAATAACTTCTAGTATAAAAACCACTAGCCATTTTATTTTTTTCATGAAACATTTTTACTTGACATCTGTTTTAAATACATTGTTACTATTTTTATATTCAATAACAATTATATCCACGTTATATGTTGAAGATTGTATACAACTAATAATATTAATAAGCTTAAAATGCACTGTTTGTCTATTATGATCAACCTGATTATTATTCTTATTGATGTTAGAAATAAATTATTATTTATTTTTCAATAATGTTATATATATAATTATGTTTCCTGTTCATAAATATATGTTAAAAAATTAATAATTATTAAAAAAATATGTGTTTTATTGTTGTTTATTTTAAAGTTTAGAATCTAAAATATATCTAAGAATGAATTAATACTCTCTTCCAAATGCTGGTCCATTCCAAGGTTATGAATTATACATTTTATAGTTAACTAAAAAATATTACATATTTGTACACAGTGCAAATAAATGTAATACACGAACAATATTTTCCATTTATATTAAATTAGCTTATTATAAACAAAGAAGTAACTGATTTTGAGACAATCAAAAATAATTCATTCATAAATGTGTGTTTCTTAATCAAAAACCTGAAAAACGTAATTTCCTTGTAAGTTTTACTCATACCAATGAAAAATTATCCAGATACACTTGCCCAACTATAATAACTAAATACAATTCTATTTCTATTAATATCAGTATTATTAAAACAATAATTCCTTCGTCATATCAAAAATCCAAACTACAATATAGTTTAAACAGCTGCCATTTCGTGATTAAGAAGTTCTACACGTAATAAATAAATAAATTACATAACTTTGTAGGAAAAATAAAAAAAATTACATTGAAAATTTAATAAATTAACATATCACACAAACTATGGAAATTAAAAACTACGATAGTTATGGACTAAAAAATACATAATGTATTATCTGCACTACCACTTGTGCAAATATGTGCAATACGCATACGAAACAACAACTGTTGCCGCGGTTTTAATAAACAATCACTTACCATTAAATAATTCAATATCGATCTAATATGGTTTCTTAAACCCTATTTAATGGACCATGAAACATTGTTGGTTCATTATTAAATTACCTTATACAATCTGTATGCAATTTAGTAAAACTGCATTTTTTACATGATAATAACATCTGCACGAGCAAAATTATTTCATTATTTTCCACGGTAGCGGACTCCTGTTGACTCGTGAAAACTTGATAGTGATTGAAGTGATTCGAGAACAAAAAGTATTAGGTAATAAATTGTGAAGGCGGAAAGGTTTCTTATCGTCTATTTGTATTTTATTGATTTCGAAAATAACTGATACTACACAGGCAATTTTACGCATATAAAAAATATCAATTTAAAATAATAAAAATATATTTTAAGTCGTGCTTAGTGCCATTGTTTATAGAATTATAATTATATTATATAATTATTATATTAAATTATATTCTATAATCAATGCTAGTGCTTACGTGTAGAGCTCAATTTTGATGTCAGATGAAGTGTTTAAAAATGACTTGTAGAATGTTTTTTTTTCTTTTTTTATCGACTGGCGTGGTAAAGTGGAAATCCTCGCTACACTGTGATTAAAAATGTTACTGTCCATTATCCAATTATTCAAATCAAATGTATAGGTATTAGTAATTAGTACACGGTACACGAGCACACCAATAATACGTTTTATCTAAAGCTCGATTTCTACGAATTGTTTAGTGCATTAGACTTGTATTCACTGTTTGTTGATATACGCCATGTATATAGGTTCATGGAACAGAGTATACCTACCCAACCTATCAACTAGAACGAATATTTGGTACCTAATCCTTATTCGTCTTACACTACCTTCACGCAGATTTACAGTAAAAACGTGAGATGATAGATGATGTCGACAACGAGAATTTCAAGTGTCGGTACGTTCGCGTGTGCATGTGTGAATGCGTCGGCGAGCTCGTTCGTTTGGGCGGCGCGACGGACTCGTCGGCGGCGTGTACACTTGTCATCGTATGTGTATGTGAATTGTGTGTGTGCACTATTCTGACATTTATTATTGAGGCGGCGCGACGCATGACGGAAACGGATTTACTTTATTTTTAAGTTTTTCCAAAATGGCGTATTCGGTCGATAAAAACAAAATCTTACCCTATTTAGGGTTTTTTATATCGTATACGTTTATAATAATATACTAATATGTAAGATGGATGCCAGTGGCGGCTTGTGATGCTCAAAGTGGGATGGTGTGCAACTCTTGAAAAAGTTTATTAGAAAAAAAAAAAAAATTAAGTCTTTGTCTGAAATATTAATTATAGTACGATATGTATTGAAATATTTATACAAAGTTTTAAAGAATATTTTATAAACCTACGAACATAATACTTACCTAATAATATGCGTAAATTGTAACCTGTTATAAATTATATTAATTATCAACAATAACAAAAAAAAAAATTAAATATTTTTTATATGAATTCAAGTCTTTTCTCTTTGAAATAATCACTGATATGTCATAATATGTGCGTTGTAACTACCGCGTGTGCAGCTGCATACCACGGTCCCGTTAATTTTCGTCAACCTCCCACTCAACGGCCCAACAAATTTACACAGACAAACGGTGTTCTGACTGAGCAGTGAGCTGCATACCAAATGATGTGTATTTATTACATAACTTCAATAAATTGAAGGAGTAATATTTTCGGATATAATATTATAAGCGAATATATATTTATTTTTTAATGAATACAATGTTATACAATAAATTATTATAGTTCAGCTTAAATTGTATAAAAATTGTGTAAAAAATTGAAAATCCATTTTTACTGTTTTATCTGTATTAATTAATGTGGTGTGCGCATACTTGCACACTTATAACTTTAGAAGGCACGGGCCGCCACTGACGAATGTTCTGAATGCTACTTGTATAGATGTTCTGTAGACTAAATGAATACCCCGTATGGATGCTCTGTGTACGTAGTGCAGTAAGAAATTTTAGACGAAAAAACCACTCTCAAACATGAGTTCCAGCAATGCAAACAAATGAACGCTGTTACCGCTGCCACCAAAATGATGTGTTCGTTGGCTCGTTGCCGTTAATTGTGAAATAGATATCCGATAGGTTAAGGAAAGAATGAATAATAATAAATACAATGAATATTTTGCAATAAAAACTTCACTGATTTCTTTAAACACTGATTTTCTGTATTTTAAAATTAATCAAGAGCGTACTACACTAGGTACCTGTAAAACTACTTTAACGGCTGTACCATATCTGATGAGAACCCGACGATCGGTCACATCTGTGATTAGTTGTTCGCTTTATCAACATTTTAGGGCTTTCACGATTCCATAGTCACGTACGCGGTACTCCATCAAACTTATATTATCATATTACACTATAATATTTAGCTCGTACAACAGTGACATGCAGGTAAAAGAAATTTATTATTAGGGTTCGGATTTAAAGGCAATATAATTAATAAAAAAAGCATTTAAAATATAAAAAAGGCAAAAAAAGCGTTTAATTTATAAAAATAGTAATTAAAAATGTATTAAAAAATGTAATGGTTTTTATGTTGTTTATTTAAACTAGTTAGTTTTAAAAATAAAATTGTGGACTGTAGAACAATTTTGAATCTAGTATCTACTACGCATTATGAACATAATTTAATTTATAAATACGTAGTATGGATACTTCAACAAACGTTATATTAACTGGCAATACCAAATACTCGATAAATATCGCCTATAATAAAACCCATTTAAAATAATTGACAAACGACAATGCATCGTCTTCAAAAGATCGTATTGATTTGTATCGTTAAGACGCATCTTATGTATAAAACGATCAAAGCCATTGAAAATTAAATACACAAAAAAGCATTTATAAGTAAAAAGGCAAAAAACACATTCATCGTTAGTGAATCTAATTACTGAAAGTTCCAAAACTTCAAGAATAGTTGAATGGATTGTATCGTAATATCGTTAGAGGTAGTACAAGCGTAACAAAAATAGTATATTGTATTGTTCGTGCGGGCCGTGCGGCAAATCAATATTTCAGTCTTGCAGGGCGAAAATAAAAAAAGCTCTTTTCATACATAATAGAGGTATTATTTTATCATACCAAGATTGAAAGGTATTTTAATTTTTAACTACAATTAAAGTATTTGTTAAAAATTCAAGACACATAATTTAAGGTTCATTTAAATTTGAAAGTTATATAATCTGCAGTATTATGAAAGTAAACGTACTCAAATATATTCTTTTTTTATATTGAATACTTTTGGTTTTTTTCGGAAAATTTAGTTTGATAAATATTGCTCACACTAATAATAGTTATATTCAGCAAAGAGCGACCACGACTAAAAAAAATCAATAAGACGGACAATAACTTTGAAATTATCATATTTCTAAAACGCGATAAACAATTATTTAATAAACATATATTACCGTATGCTAATATACTAAACAATAGTATACTGACATACTGTTACGTTAATTGCAAACCCATAAAATAATAACCAAAATCATTTGAATAATATTTTAAATAAGTGCTTATCAACAAATGTATTTTCTATAACACTGCATATAATAATGAACTGAAAAAAAAACAAACTAGATTCAAAATATTCATCAGAAACATAAAATAAAGTGTACCTAAATTTAAATTAAATACCTATTTTGAGTTATTAATAGCATTGTAAATTTAAT